TCCTGTTTCCCCCCACCGCCGCCGACCACCGGGGCCTTCTCGTGGGTCAGGAGGCTGACGAAGCGGGCCGCCTGTCGAGGGCTCTCCAGCAGCCGGCCCGCACGGAGGACGCGCACATAGGAACACACCGGCCTGTTGATGCCATTCTCATCCTGCAAAGAGCATGAGGGACACCCAGAGGAAATGGTTGGTCTCTGCGAAATCAGTTCATCACATAACGCTTCAACTTGTCCCTCACAACACGTGTAACTGGAGACACACCTGTGCAAAGATCTTGACCATCTTGGATTGGTTTGATGGACGTATTTCAAGAAACTCCCTCCACCACTGTTTGGCATAAACCAAAAAGAGTCTCTCTTTCTCTGCCGTCCTCTGCCTCTCCAGTGATCGCTGATGAGAAACACACAGTGACGTCAAATACGCCTTTAATGTTCCCTTTACAATGCTGCCCTTAGAAACCAGCCCTGATTGACTCTTAACAGTGTTAATGGAATTCTGTTGTAATGATTCACTGTGAGCTCAAGGCGTTCCTCTCTTCATGAATAATGTAGCAGATGAATAAACAGAGGGATGAAACAGACAGAAGGATAAAGAGAGTTCAGTGTGCTGACCTGTGTGCTGATGATGTCACTGCTCAGAGGCTCTGTGAGAGGAGGGTAGAGCTCCAGACTGACGGTCAAAACACCAGCTGGGACTTTACATTCACTCCCTTTCGACACACACACACACACACACACACACACACACATTCGAAAAAAAGCTTTAGAAGTGACAGATAAACTGCATGTTTTTTTTGAACAATATTACACATTTCTAGTATTTCCTAGTTGATTAAATGGTAAAACAGTAAATTGATTGTACTTCTATCACACTGTTGTTGTCTTCTGATCCTTTTAAAGCACTTTAACACTGCATGTCACATGAATACACTGAAGGTAGAGGATCTCATATTGTGCACATCAGTATTGACTTATCCCATTCATATACATTCAGAGGCTGCTGGCTATGCCACCAGTAGCTATTTGGAGATCAGAGTCTTGCCCCAAAGACACTTTGTGGACTGCAGAAGCTGGGAATCAAAGAGCCAATCGAACGGTTAAGAGACGACCCATTGTACCAATGAGCTGCCCCAAGATTAACAGTCATGAAAGCGTTTATTTTGCTCAGGACCAGGACCATCTCCTCTTAGATAAATTAAGTTACCAGCATGTACCATAAGCTCTTCTGATTAGATGATGTAAAAAAAATGTTGTTTTCTGACCTGGTTGCTTTCAAAACTACAGCAGTGTATATTTGGCATTCTACATTTAAGTATTGGCTCGACATTTGTCTGTGCACAAAACAAAAAAACGGCATTCTTGCCTCTACCAGTCAACTGTCAACACACACCTCTACCTCCACACATCTGACTTCACAGAAAGTTTTAACTAAGAGGCTCGGGGTAAAGTCAGGGAGTTAAATTTGGTCGATTTTGAGACATTTCCTGGAGATTGTGTGCGTGAGGAAACACCATGAGCTACAGTTATTTACCCTTTTGATGTATTAATAATAATAAATGTAAGTTTAATCACTCACTTAACACTATCAAGCATTTATTCAGTGCAGCAGAATCCTCTTTCCTCACCTACTCCCATCAGCTCCGCAGCAAAGCAGGTCTTCCCATTGGGTGAGCCGAGAACTGTCCTCCAGTCCAGGAAGTAGGACGAGACCAGCGTCGTCTCACTTGATGTGTCCGTCTTGATCAGGACCAAGTGAACCGGGTCACACAAAGACAGCATGGTTGTCGAATCAGCCATTGTACTGCCTATTCCTGCAGGGTGAGAAAGAGTAATCGCAAAATTAAAACTCAAAACAGACAAAACATGAAGTATCAGCTTAGGCCTGATTGACTGTCACCAACAGGGCTTAGTACCTTCTTTGTGGATCTCTAAGAGAAAGCCTTCCTTCAGGTCTGGGTCGCAGGCACAGGGCGCTGGTTTTGAGTGAAACCTCTGGTTGCGGAAGTGCAGGTAGAGTGTAAATGTAGAACACACCTGTCCAGGTAAAGGCTCTGGCTCCTGGAGATGCTCCAGAAAGGCCTTACCACCAAGTACCTGGAGATAGAGGTACCGCCTTGATGGGTCAATGTTGGCTAAAAGAATAAAAAATAAAGATCATCACTAAGTTGTTCAGACACAAGGACATCTTTAGTGAAAGGAAAAGCTTTGATGTTGGTGGTAAAACAACTTATCGTACTTCTTTCCAGCTGAGTTACATTCTGGTCCACAAAGTGAGTGGCAGGTCTTTGTGGAGATCCTATTTCTGCATCTAAACGTTGGCCGCCCTTGGTAAAGTGTAGGTCCTTCATCACATCATCAATGATGCCCCTGCGCTGCAGAGCATGGAGGAAATCCACCTCGGACAGAGGTCGATGGGCTTCACCTTGGTCGTCCTTCACAGTCTCTGCCAGCACCTCTCGGATTCTCCCATGGATATCCATCTGACAAACGGAAAAGTCTCAGAGCTTTAACAAAGTGGTTCGACATACACTGCCTGTCCAAAAATAAAAAAGTCGCCACGTGCATTTAAGTAAGCAAATAGGTAAGAGCCTCCCATTGGATAATAACTGCATGGGCGATTATCTTTCAGCTGGCAACAAGTTATTTAACCTCAACTGATGCAATGAGTAGCTTCTCATTTCTTAAACTACTATGTTGAAAGACCCATCCTGTGGTCGTGGAAAAGATGTTAAGTCTGTTTAAGAAGGGTCAAATCATTGGCATGCATCAAGCAGAGAAAACATGTAAGGCGATTGCAGAAACTACTAAGACTGGGTTGAGAACTGTCCAACGCGTTATTAAAAACTGGAAGGAAGATTTACCCAGAGTGATCAGGTAAGAAGAGAGGCAGATGAAGTGATGCACCCATCACGCCTAGTGCCTACTGTACCAGCCTGTCGGGGCACTGCTATGATCTGGGGGGGCAGTGCTATGATCTGTGGGGGCAGTGCTATGATCTGGGGGGGCAGTGCTATGATCTGGGGGGGCAGTGCTATGATCTGGGGGGCAGTGCTATGATCTGGGGTTGCTGCAGTTGGTCAGGTCTAGGTTCAGCAACAATATGTGCCTGCTGACTACCTGACTATACTGAATGACCAGGTTATTCCATCAATGGATTTCTTCTTCCCTGATGGCACGGGCATATTCCAAGATGATTCATCAGGATTCATCGGGCTCAAATTGTGAAAGAGCGGTTCAGGGTGCATGAGACATCATTTTCACACATGGATTGGCCACCACAGAGTCCAGACCTTAACCCCAATGAGAATCTTTGGGATGTGGTGGAGAAGACTCTCCCATCATCGATGCAAGATCTTGGTTAAAAACTGAACGCAACACTGGACGGAAATAAATCTTTGCAGAAGCTTATCGAAACAACGCCACAGCGAACGCGTGCCGTCATCAAACCTAAAGGCGGTCCAACGAAATATTAGAGTGTTTGACCTTTTTTTTTTTTTTTTTTGGCCAGGCCAGTGTATCTGAATGTCTTCATCCCACAGAAAACTCATGTGTTGATTCATAAAATGCAAAGCAGTCGACCTGGTGATACAGAAATCATTTGAGGGTATTTTAAGAAGTGATCGTCTCATGTTTCCTGTTTCTGGTAGCTGTGTGGTGACTTCATTGTACTTTGGAAGTGACAAGGAACAGCTGCTTGTGAATAAATGAGTCTCATCTTTTAAGACCAACACACCTCTTAGACAAGTCAGAGAGTGAGTAAACAGATTTGAGAATGATCTATGCTATTACATTAAAAACACTTTGAGGAGTATTCACTGACTCTGTGACTACAGCTGGGATCCTTCATGTGTTAAAGCTGCTTAAGTAGGTTAAAGTTAGTAAACAAAGCAGTACATCTTATTTTTCTGCTGATTTTAAATACAATAATACATTTAAATAAAAATAATAAATAAAATAAACACATGTGACAACAGGTTTTGTAGGTAGAAGCTGACCTTGAGCAGATGGTTGTGAATGATTTGCTTCAGCTCGCTGGCTTTCTCTGGAGGCAGAGACATCACAGCTGATGAGTCGATGCTACTTTTAAGATAACAGAATCGAACAACAGCTGTCGCTTTTCTTCTTTTAGCAATATTTCATCCATATAAACATTATTCATCTGCGGGGAAGAAAAAAAAAACAGCCCAAAAGTGACAACAACGACCATCGATGAGCCATAACAAATCAGTTCAAACTCAAACTGAGGCGGAAAACCAAGCGGGAATCCGTCTCCACACATGCCTGACAACGTTATTCAATCAAATGTGTGCTTTTCGAACAATTCTGTCCCTGGAGAAATGTAATGTACATGTTTTAATACCATTTAAAAAATACTTGATTTATTAACGAAATTTGTTTTATATGTTTGGACGAAGAAATACTTTTTTTTTATCTCGGGGATTTCAACGGCTGCCTCGTGAAGTCACGATCTGCGCCTGCCATTAAAGGACCCATTTGTAGTCCAAATTGTAGTTTTTTTTTTGTGTACAGTATTTCGGTACAGTAAGAAGTAGATAGATAGATAATACATCCATAAGGCAGGTGTTTATTTAAACCTGTTTCATACAAAATATTTTAAATTTCTCTTTCTTTGTCATTCAAAATTTAAAAAGTTTGTAGGATTAATAGTTTAAATTCTTAAAGAAGAGAATTTTTTTTTTTTTTTTAACATATTGCTCATACTGAAAATACAGTACTGCCTCACACGCCAATTCCACCCCACAGACAAGAGAAAATGAAATTACTAAAGCAGTCAATATGAGTAAGGCCTCTTCTTGTAATATTGAATCAATTCCTGGAATCCACGGGTAGAGGCCTCCAGTCTGGCTGCATTGATTTAGCTCATGGTCAGAATGAAATTATGCCTATAACACAGCACAGCAGTTCAGAGATGGAGGAGAACAGTTGGTGGACCCATAAAAGCTTCTTTTCTGACACAGAAAAAAAACAAGTACAACAAGGTTTGGTAAAAAAAGGTGAATGTTTTATTTTAAGAAGTATTTTGTGTTTTATTTTCTTTTTTTTAAAACACCATCTGCCATGTTTTTCACTGTAGTTCAGCAGTGTACAAAACTCCCCTGAAATCTTATGTGGAAAACAAGAATGAATGGAATGTTACGTTCACACGTATCTCTTCTGGGTTAAATAAGATCTTAGTAAAAGCAATGTCCAAGAGTGGTATCTAGCCAATCCTCTTCCCACGCATACACGGGGGGGATAATGACATTCACGTCCATTTACAACAAAACTCTCAACGCTGTTTCTCGTGTTACACGTGAAACACCGGCTTACATAAGCTGTCATCTAAACTGATCATGCTAGGAAAGCTTGGAGCACACACTTTTCCATTTAACTCACTTCAAGGCACATAAAAAGCTATCTCAACCAGCAAACAAACAGGTAAAGATAAATGTAGACTATTACTACCCTAACTGGCATTTTATCCAAAGTGCTCGCCTCCAACTTCTACATTGCACTATTATAGTTTCAGACTGGTACAAGTCAACTGAAAACCAATTCCTGGATGCTATAGTTTCAAATTAAGAAGTCACACACAATGCAAGCTACAGTGCTATCACTTTGTAATGCAGGTGTTTGTTATACTAAAGATCGGATGGAAATTACATTCCACACATTTGGAGTACAAGGTTTTCCATTGAGCAGCCTTCTTGGCTGTACTCTTCTGAGAATCAAACAGCTTTGCTTTGGTTTCCTCTTTAAAACGACAGTGGGATAACCTGAACACACATATACACACACATGAACCCATCCAGTGGGTAAACACACGCTATATGCGGTGAAGGACCAGACAAATTGTACAAGCAAAAATCTATGGAATAAAAAAAAAAATCAAGCTCTTATAAGAGAAAATTAAAGGTTAATATTCTGGCCGAGTTTGAAATGTCAGCAAGGCAGCTCCCCATGAAGTGTCCCGTCACAAAAAATATATATCTGGCCATTTTGGGATGCCCTGCTTAATGTGAATGGAAGAACAAGTGGTGCTCTTGAGAACGTCCAAATGCATGCATGAAATGCAACTTCAACTAACAATTAAAAAAAAAAAAGAGGAAAAAAAGCCATTGCTGATTTCTTGAGTTGTAAGTCTTCCTACATATCCAAGGTAGGAAGGACAGTCAACACAAGGTTTTTTGAAATGTAAAAAGAATCCAAAGATGATCAAAACACATCTGACCATTAAAAATAAAGAATTCAAAAACAAACCTGTTAGAATATATATATTTGTTTGCTTTGTACTGCAACTTTAGTAAGTTTCTTTCAAAGCATTTTGCTATGATACAGTACATTCATCAACATTGACAAGAAGGAAAAGAAATTAAATCATCGTGCTGGCACCAAGATCCTGAGATGTTACTATATTTGTTAAGATCTTACATGAAAAATATACACACACAATCATTTGATCCAGCGCTCCCGCATTTTGACCTTAAGAAATAAATACCCTCAGTTATGCACATGTTACCTTCTAAATCTAAAACCTAGAGAAGTACCTAATCCCAGGTACTGGTGCAAAATATGAGTCAGTTAGAAGTGACTGCAGATGTTTCACTGGAAGTACATCCAGCACACCAGCAGGCCCGCTGCCAAAGCTGCCCCGGCACCCACGTTGAGAAGGATGGGTCTCCAGTACAGCCACTTCTCTCGACCTTTCTCCGAGTCGGTAAGTCTCTGTTTCATCTGCTGGACCCTCTGCGTGGTGCTGGCAATCCTCTCCTCACGGTGACGTTTTCTGACTCTGGGGGGAAAAAAAAGAAGAGCCAGTTATGGGTAAGCAAAAAAAAAAAAAAACAGTTTGAACATGAGATCAGTCTGAGGCACTGTACAGCTGATGTGCCAAAGAATTTAAAGAATTATCTGATCTTTTTAATTGTCTTTTTTAAATACTTTGAACATGTAACAAAAGGTGAACATTAAAAAAAAAAAGACATAACAACAACATAAATAACTGCTGTAAAGTGGCGATAATAGGTTTAAAGCCTCAACATGTTGAAAAATGTCACTTTAAGTGAGTTTTAGACCAATCACACACTAGTTTCGCCCTCATGAAGCCTGCAGCATTTCAATACTTGCTCACTCAGGGATCCACCATTTGTCCACCCTTCCACAGATTTGAATGAAGCTGTGTGTTTTAAATTATGTGAGTTTCTTTTAGTTCAGCTTCTGTCCAACCCTGAAAGGACTGCTTCACCTTAAAACAACGCACAGGACTACTCACTCTTACGCCTCTTATGTTTTCTAGTTCAGAGTTTTTTGAGGTTCATAACCTTGTGACATGGCCACAATGATTAGAGGGGAGACAACATTATTCAGAAGGTCCCTTTGGGGTGTCTCTGTCCCTGTCAGTCATGTTTCTGGTGGAGTCATGTTTATGCTGCTCGGGCGGCCCAGGTTGACCAGTTGGGAAGTCGTTCTTCTGACTTAACGTAATTGTAATTGTTACTTTTTTGAGCAGAAAGTTGATGTGCAATATGTGAATTAATAAAAAGTATCGAAACATTAACAAAACATATTTTGCCCCCCGTGTTATGACGATTCTGACGTCAAGTTGGCAAGTCAGGCACCTAATTAGTTTCCGAGTTGTTGTTCCGACTTGAGCAGGTGTTCATGAGCATTTTTACAACTCGGGATCTCGTTTTTCCGATGTGTCCGACACCACTTCAATGCACCATTAGTCTGCAGTCGGCCTGGTCATGTGTCCTGCTTCAGCTAGGTAGACACAGGTGTGTGTAGGGGGCGTGGCCAGGGGAGAACATAGGGAGCATTGTTTATAGGTTTTTTTTTTCCTGTGAAGAGGGCAGAGGAGAGCTGCTGGAAAGCTTTTTTCTTGGAGGACAAACTGAAATATTGACTCCTTTTCTCGTTGCTTCCTACTACACATAAGAAGCAGATATGTGGTTTGGAGGGCTGTGAACACTGAGATCAATTCAGGACTCTTTGAGGTCTGGTCATTAAGAAATCTCAATTCCCAGATCGGCGAGTCCCACTATATGGACATCTTTTTTTCCTCTGTGATTACTTTGCAATACATTGCTTTTTATACATATTTTTTGCTTTGATTACTGGGATCTTCCAATTTTTGAGCTTTTGAGACCCTTCCATTTGAACTGTGTGAATAACAGGAAGGTTTCCAGGAATTGCAATGGGACATGAGAGGTGGACACTGTTTTTTTTCCAAATATTTTTCTTAGTTATAATTTGTGTTTAAATTGGCGATAAAGCGTGCATCTTATTTTCTCCTGTTGTCTTCTTATATTATTTATTGGTAACAGGGTTGCTCCCCTTTTTCCTACCACTCCCTTCTTGTTTAAGTTCCTCACCAGGTTTTGTTATCAAATTCAGTAGATTTGAATTAAAAAATAAACTATAATTTTAAACTCAACTGACAGTTCTAACCTTCAAAGAGAGAAAGGAAAATATGCACAATATTAATACCTTCAAATTAATGACATTAACTATCAAATTTAAGATTTTCTAAGTCTTATAAGATATTATTTTTTCTTAAAAATTGACAGTCCCTTAAATGAATGAGAATTTAACTTACTGACCCTAAGTAGCAGCACTCGTTTCAAAACAGACCTATTCATTCTAAACAAGGTCGATCAATGGGGCGGCAGTAGCTCAGCCTGTAGGAAGTTGGGTTGGGTACTGGAGGGTCGCTTGTTCAAGTTCCACAATATGGAAGTTGTTGTGGTAGCTGGAGAGGTGGCAAGCCTCACCCCTATAGTGAATACTTCCAGCGCAAAAAGCGTTGTCTGCAAACACGGGCCCTAATAGAAATCAAAAAGACATTAAAGGAGTCCTGAGCTGTTACTTACTGTCCAGAGTTCTCTGCAATGCTGTTGTCTTGGCTGTCTGGCTCTCCAGCAGGTAGTTGGTCTCCTGAGACAGGTTGTGGCTCCTGACAGGGTCCTGGCTGACCGTTGGGCCTGCTGTCATTGAATTGAGGTCTGGGTGGAGGTGGTGGAGGGGGGGAGTCATCTCTGGACATCACTATCTGCTTGATTTGCTAAACGACACAAAGATTCAACACAAGGAATCGTTAAGTTCCCTCAACAGTTGGCATTACTGCGTTACCTCCACACTTGTGAATCAGTAAAGGTCTTACATTTTTACATCTGTAGTTTACAGACAGAAAAGTAATAAACAGCTACCGGTAACCCCAAAGCATAGGTGAAGCAATGCAATGACAAATGTGAAAACTCAGCTGCTGTTTTTTTTGGTTATTTGGTGGAAAACACATTACAGCACCACAAAAACAGAGGACTTCTTTTGACATTTGTAAACTTGAAATGGTAGTTAACTACATTTAAAAAAAAAAATGATTTGGAGCTATTTATGTCATTATAAAGAGAGCCAGGGCAGTGGATAGAGTCAAAAATCAGTCGCGATTTTTTTGGGCAAAATCACGATTTTAACACAATTTTTTCATACTGATCTTAAGACTAATTTGTAAGTTACTGACCAGTTCAACCAAACTTAAATCCCTGTGTAATGTTTTTAAATGCACAAAAACTGTGCTGACAAGTTTAATCTATTTGAAAAACATATTTGTTGGGGGTCTGGAGGTCTCTCACCCAGAACATCTTTTAAATCAGAAATGTCTTTCCCCCAATTTGATCAATATTTATGCACAATTTTAAGGTTTTCTGGACCACTTTGAAATTATGATCGAGTAATGTGTTCTCTTTTTGTGTTGTCACGCATTGATGCATTCATTTAAAAACATGTAGACTTCCAAGTTCTTGTGTTTCTGTTCTATTTTAGCCCTGCAGAGTTCCTACAGCTGGAGCTTCATACAGGCTCTGCAGCCTTTGTTTATAAGCTACGTTGTTTTGAATGACATGATAGGATTAACTTCAGTTTTTTTAAAATCATAATCAAACATAACACAGAATGTGTTCATTGGCAGATCGTCAACACGTTCAAATCCTTCCAGATCTAAGATTGTTATATCGCACACCACTCGGCCCAGTGGTTAACTAGATTTTGTACAAACAAAGAGAATCCTAAAAACGAGGGACAAAGAAATTGCTGCAGTTTTAAGCCACCAGTTTAACTATCAAACCCTTCAAACCTCTAGCTGCTTGGGGTAACAGCTTTACAAATAAAGTTGAAAGTCGAAGGCTGTTGGAGAGTCTCACTGCCATAGGAGCACTAAAGCCTAAACAGCATCATGAACGAGCTACCTGTGCTGCGGAGTAGTCTGTCAGGACGAGTCTGGCTCCCTCAATGACCGCCATATAGGAGAAGCGGAGCTGATCAGGGGTCTGGATCAGACCCATGCGGTATTCCCTCATGTCGAGTAGCACCTTCTGTATGTCCACCGATGATGGGTTTTTTCTCCTGGTCATCTGCAAAACAGATTAAGATGTGCAAGAAGACAAATGAAGTTAAAGACTGTTTAAAGGGAAACTTAAGGCTTAAAGCAACACCATGCAACTATGTGGTCCTAAAATAGTAGCTTCAAAATATTTTTGGTTAACACTGACATGTGATAAGGATAATATCTACTGTATTCTCCAAATACTAAAAATCTGAATGCCTTAAGAACGAAAACATTTCCTTTAGTCTGACACATTATCACACAATGCTAAATGACATCATTTTAACACTTTTACAAAACATGTAGGTATTAGCAGTATCTTTCATTAAGTCATCAGCTGCACAAAACAAATTGAACAACAGTATAAGAGGGTCGATATTTAACATGAGACGTTGCACCACAATCATTGAATACAAAGAAGGATGTAAAGGCAGATGTCTCTCTCTGATTATCTGCAGAGCATGTGTCAGACACTTCTTCTCGGGGTTTAAACTGTAGCAGGAGAGAGCGAGTGAGGATCGCCCAGGGATTCAAAGGAAAAAAGAAAAAAGAAATGGACGGCAAATATACTTAGGCAGTCATAAATATGGGCTACCTGGCAAACTGCCCAGCAATAGTCCATGTGTGGGAAACACTTTCATGGATAATTTCAGTCTCGAGGGTCAACTCTTCAGGATGGAAAATTTTGAAATTCCTGATAAATTCGAACGAATAGCATCCCTGATTATGTCACTTGTATTGAGTATGGGTACCATCAAATGCAAGAAGTGCAAAAAGCCTTTCTAAATGAGAGCAGTAGAGAAGTAACTGAAGCCGTTTTCATATGCACTCCTGAAAATATCTACATAATCATCTAGATAATTTCAGGAGGACTGCAGAGATGGTGATAGTTGAATCTGCCATCTCTCCACAACCTGTGCACCTGCAGGACCCCGAGGCGTTCAGGTAAAACTGTGGCCCACCCCTCTCACCCCAGACACAGACTATTCCCGACCCTCCGTTGAGAGGCTGCGGTCCATCAGGACCAAAACCTTGACACGCCACAAGAACAGTTTCTTCTTCTCTGCTGCCAGCGTCATCATTAATGCCCCTGCCCTACCTGAAACCCCACATTACATTAACGCACATTGGACCTGAGAATTCTTCTGTCTATAAAAGCACACAGTGTGGAAATGTATACTGTAAGATATTTTCACTGTAGATCATGTACATACCTGCAAACATGTACAGTTCCTCGATTGCACCTTCTGTACATTTTGTGTTCTTCATATTCTATTATATATTTATTATTATTATTTATTATTTTTATTAGCCGTCCGCATTAACTTGTCAATCGCGATCAATTAAGGTCTAAAATGTTCATTTCAATCACAGGCTATTTTGTCCCTTTAGGGCGCCCTGTAGATAAGCCTCCGTACTTGTGTCTCCCTGTAGTCACTGTGATGGAAAAGAACGACACTGCTGCGTCTTTGAATGTCTCGATTCACTTTTTAAAAAAGTCCTAGAGATCAGTTGAAGAGTCAAAAGTAATATCTCCTTTGTTACATTCACTTCTTTACAGTTTCCTTTAGCTCTTGTCTTTGAATTTTTGATCTGAAGCAAGTTCCTTTTTCGCTGGTTAAGTTAGTGTCTTTACCTTCAAACTACCGGAAGGACCTTAATTAAGAGATGGGACAAAAGCATTCTGTCAATATCAGATCCGATACCAATATTAGATCGGATCCGATATTGACAGAATTCTCATCTCGGTGCCGATCCACGTCACCGATCATGAAAGATCGTCGGGCACTTTAAACGCTCTCAACTCGCACTGTCTCGCTTCGAAGACATTCAGACCGACCTGCAAGTGGCCACATATAATCTACATTAAGACGTTCAGACGAGATGGAACAGCTCCTTCTACATGATCCAAGTGCTTTGTCCTCATCAGCAGGAATATTACTGTTTTCATAGCTTTTTGACATTGTTGCTCGACTTCTGTTTTTCACCAAAACACCAAACCTTGGCAATAACACAGATTCTGATATTAGATTGATAATGCTGAAGCATAAGAGCTTATAAATGATTTACTGTTGTTGTCATACACTGTAATAACCTCTTCAAACCTAAAAATGCAATCAAGTGAGCTGATGTGTTTCCATTTTATTCCTATTACCAAGGTATTCAACTAAGCTGAAAAATGCACCCAACATGCCACAACCTCTCCCTTTCCATCTGTTATTAAGTAAGCATAATCTTTAAATCTCATCTTGCTTGCTTGCCATAACTCGAAACTATTGAGCAATGTTTAAACTATTTGTTGTCAACCTTATCGACCTTTTTTCGATTTTCTGTATTTGATGAAATTCCCTCTCCCCCTTTTTCCTCACCAGGACCAGGCAGGTGTCCACCAGGGCAAAGGTCCCTGAACGCCCAATTCCAGCACTGCAGTGCACCACAGAGGGCCCGTGTTCCTGGTCCAGCGAGCAGGACTCCCGCACCTTGAAGAGAAACTTTAGAAAAGAGGCGGGAGATTCTGGGACACCGAAGTCAGGCCACGTGGTGTAGTGAAAGTGGTAGATCTCCCTGGACTCTTTCGTCTACAACAGAAGACACGAAATGCAAGCTCAGATTGGATCATTTCTTTAGACAGAGTTCAGCACGACTGTGATTAGAATCGATCATCTTCATACATTTAGACTTTAACACTGGGTTTTTACAATAGTGAAACAAGTTAGCACAGGTAAAGTCATGATCAGGACCCGTGGCAGCTGCCCTGAAAATAGAGCCAGGATAAAGCAACACGTTAAAAAAATGTATTCTCTAATACAGAAATGAAACGTGGAAGTTTTCATCTCACAAAATATCATCTCTGAAATTACACCACTCAGCATCTGGGGGTGGGGAGGGGGTGGGGGGGAGTGATTATCTCATAATCTGCCTCTCACGCTCACCATTGTGTTATGCAGTTCTAGGACTCGGATTGTGTAATAGGATTGGTCCTCCTCAGAAAGTAGCCTGACAACAAACCCTGTGTCTGTGAAAGACATCTGTTGCTCTTCTGTGGTGGGCCAGTACTGAGCACACTTTTCCTGTTGAGACACAAATGTATTTACTTCACTCATTGGAGACACATAGGCCGTGCTTTCTGGTGTGGCAGAAATCTTATAGAGAATAATGCACATCCGTTGGAACCCAGTGACCAAATAGTGTCACAGAATGTATTTATTAGATATTGAATCAAAATATTTTTTTTAGCAAAATACAATGTAGCCTTGCAAGCACAAATAAACAATATCCAAACACAGAGAGATTCTTTGCAGTGGATTTAAGAACAAAAAACAAAAATCAGTTTTCAGACAAAATGTGAAATGAAATGTGTAATTTTAACAGCTGGATTATTGTATGAAGCCTAATTGGTTAAACAACACACACACACACACACACACACACACACACACACACACACACACAAGTATTCATCTGTAAAGATATGTCGAAAAAAAATTAAAAATCCCCCGTCTGTGCTCATAACATCATCTGGAGGCATAGCTCGGTTATTAAGCCCTTCTCCAGGGATTGTTTGGATTAACTTTACTGCTGCTTTCAGCCACTTGGGACATGGCACCAACATTCAGTTTGATGTAACGATGGCTCGGCCTCAATATCAGGATTTCCGGTATGGAGTTCAACTACTAGAAATCTTTTTCAGTTGCTGGGCGCCTGTCCATCTGTCTCTGGTAAGTTACAGTTTGACTGAATTTAGAATGTCACACATCAGCTAAAGACTCTCTGCTGCTAAATGAACACTACACCATCAGATTCAACTAGATTTAATTATAATAAACAAAACTGTGTACACAGGAAGCATAAACCCTGAAATCATGATGTAGATTTGTCAAAACAGTCAAAAAATTCAAATGTTGTTGGTTCAACTCACAATACCTAACCTGCTTGTTGTTTTTTTGAGAATGGCGTTTATGTCATCCAATGCATTTTAATCAAAAGGGTATATGATTTTGCGTCACACAAACTTCTTGCTCCAGTGTCATTTTTGTAACGATCAATTCACATCTTTCCACTGATTTTGTATTTCATCATGCTGCATTCAAATATTTGAATTTGCTTTTGGTCAGAACACACCGTAACACAGATAAGGTATGCTGACTGCTCTTTTGGTATCAAGAACACCTTTAGCTAGTATCACTAACAAGATATGAAAGCTAAGAAACATGAATGCTGGAACATCACAGCCTAATCTAGAACAATGGGAATGTGAAGAAGTCGGCGTCAGCAGTGACTGAAGTGTACTCACAGATCCCTTTTCAATGACTCTGTTGAGCATTATGACGGCTTTGGAGCACTGCTCCCATATCATGAGCCAGAAATGACCACAGGTATTCCTCAAAGGCCCCTGTAGGAAACAAGAGAAGAAGAAAATTCAGAAGACGAAAGACCATCATTTCACCAGGACCATTTCTCAAATCCAAATGTGTGGGGTTCTCTCATTTCATTTGTGAGAGTTCAAATTGATAACTCCTTTGTGCTAACGCAAGTGGGGGGGGGGGGGGGGGCTTCAGAATAGCGGAGGTGTTTCCAAACAGCAGTTTGTTTTGGTTTCATGCTGGCGCTCAAGGGCGACATCTATTGGATCAAAAAGTCGCACATTCTTCCTTTGACAAAGAAAAAGGCCTCAACTGCGTGCACTCGACATATTAAAACAACTCAAACTGATTGGCTTCAGATGAATCAGGCTGGATGGAAAGCAGTTTGATTAGGAGGTGGAGCAGACATATCTGCCCGAGCAATCAAAAAAAAAAAAAAGCCCACAGATTTGACATGTTGCTAAGCTCTCTGTCATGACCAACAAGTTCACAAAACATCAAAATGATATCCTGCACACACTACTCTTCAAATGATCCATCGATATATTCAACATGAGCATATAGAGTCATTGATGTAAAACCATACCTGAGAAAGAATGTAAGCTCTTTGGGCTTCTTCCACCATGACGAGACTTGCATTGATGTAGTCATTTTCAGAGTTTTCAAGTTTTACACGACTGTGATCGTCTGAAACAAGATTAAAGAGAATAGGAAAATTACATAATCACAGAGACGTCATTCCACATTTACACATTTTTACTAATAACCTTATTCGTCATCAAGACTCACATGGGCTGACATCTCGGTAGCGGTTCAAATTCCGATTCACTGGAAGTTTTGCCACTTTGTAAGGATATTCACTGGCTTGGTTGCGGATCTCCTGTTTGGAGAGACACAAAGACAAAGTAGGAAGGACATAGTGTTAGAAATCAGAATAAAGAAATACTTGATTAATCCCCGGGGGAAATTCAGGAAAGTAAAGCACACCTGTGTAACATCCTCACTATAACACCACGTCTTTTTGTGCCAGACTAATTGGAACTGTCACCTAAAGCGGACGTGCCAGCTTTGCTTGTTCAGATTGTCATTTGTCAAAGGGCTGTCGTGTGCTCTTGTTATTCCAACACATAGTTTTCATGATGTGTACGGGGTGCGGCCAAAGACATTCTCCAAGCCTCAACTGAACAGGTTTGTTATTAGTTTATTTTAGAGAGATAAGTGACAGAGTATAATACTTATAAAAACACAAATAAAGGCACCTAAAGAAATAAACTAAGCTTTGACAGACATCAGGAGTTTCAACATGTCAGTGCACATGGGGAAAACAATCCTACTTCTCAGAATTTTGCAATTACCTTGAATTTCATCAGTTCTCAGTAACGCTGTAGGATAGTGACTGAGGGACTATTTCTTTAACAAAACTATTACTTCTACATTTTTATTTCTCTATCCAAGAACATTTCTTTACCAAGAGCTGCCCGGTGCATTGTCTGTTACCAATACTGCAAGATTCAGGATCTTCTGTATCCTCTAAGTGACTGTTTACGTTGTTACACTGGTATTTTTAGGTCGGCTAAAATCATCCAAAACTGTAAAACTGGGTTATGTTTGGCTGTAAAACGCCACCAGTAACATGTAATCCTCCACTTAGAGGTTTCATGCAGTATTACCGGATCAAAGCCAAAATTAAACAGGGTCAGAATGAAATATTATAAATGCTGGGCTCTTTTTTTTTTTCTAGACAGCTGGTGGTAAAGGGTAAAAACACATGCGCTTTTCTCTGGAAGTCCTGACGAGTTCTCAGAAACTGCAGCTGACGTCTACTAGCGTCAGCCAGCATTAGCAAACTGAGCTCAACTATGAGGACTGTGCAGCTGCACGTTTTCTAGCTACGGAAGTCAATGTCTACTGGCTGCTTAGTTACTTTCTCAGTTGTCTTCACCGAGTGCATTATCCTATGTTTCTCCTGCACACAATATGATTAAGTCTATACGTTAAACACAGCCGAGTGAATCGCATGAAAGCTTAAAAGTGAACAAACATTAGTGAAGGAAGCTGGGGCTAAGTAAGTTAGCAACCGATCGTCATAGAAACACGAGAGGCCCAGTGTCGCTACTTACATTGTAAAGGTTTTGCCATCCCCCGGACGAGTCAATGTCGTCAAATTCTTGCTCCATGGTGTCGTAAATGGTGTCGCGGGATGATCACAGAGTGTTTGCAGCGCCGTTCACTGAGTTACTCCTTTCTATAAGCCATCTAAACGACAGTCTGTGTAACCCTGGGAATCCCTGCGGGGAGTCTGCTGCTCCTGCACAATACTGACTGCACGCACGCTGACTGACTGACTCGGGTTGCCAGTTAAGTGTTTATCTCAACCTGCCGGAAAAAAAAAAAAAACATTCGAGTGTCATACTTCTCTGTGGATGTTTATTTTATTTAAATAAAAACACTCCAAATGGCATCTTTTAGAGTTAACTATCTTTGCTTTATTATACAATTATTTAAACCAATATAAATAATTTCCAATGCCTGACATGCGTGTATTTTCTTTACATAAAATGGCAACATTGTACCCATATGAATGACAAAAACGGTACGTTATTTTTATTTTATTATTTATTTTCCTCATCCTGGAGTCCACAGTATGCAATATGATGACCAAATTAAATGAAGTCATTATTTTCCTACTAAACCTGGCAACCCATGTACAGCAAAAATGTAACGATAAAGTTGAATACCTTCTAGTTTTACATTTAAAAAAAAAACATTCGAGTCCCATACTTCTCTGTGGATATTTATTTTATGTAAATAAAAAAAAACACTCCAAATGGCATCTTTTAGAGTTAAATATCTTTGCTTTTTTATACAATAATTTAAACCAATATAAATAATTTACAATGCCTAACATGCGTGAATTTTCACTGCCTACAACCACTAACTCCCCCTCCTACATTACTTCTTCATTGTACTGTCCTCCTCGTTTTTTGTTTTATTATTTTATGTTTTAAGCGTCTTTGAGTTTTTAGAAAAGCGCTAAATAAAACCAATGTATTATTATTATTATTATTATTATTATTATTTTATTTACATACAATGGCAACATTGTACCCATATGAATGACAAAAACGGTACGCTATTCTTATTTTATTATTTTAATTATTTATTTTCCTCATCCTGGAGTCCACAGTATGCAATATGATGACCAAATTAAATGAAGTCATTATTTTCCTACTAAACCTGGCAACCCGTGTACAGCAAAAATGTAACGATAAAGTTGCATACCTTCTAGTTTTTAAACGATATAAAGCTATACATTAAAAAAATAAACATTACTTTGTTTTCTTGACATGATATGTTTCAAAATAAATAATTAAAAAAATAAAATAAAAATAACGTACAATTTTTGTCATTCATATGGGTACAATGTTGCCATTTTATGTAAAGAAAATAATAATAATAATAATAATAATAATAATAATACATTGGTTTTATAAAGCGCTTTTCTAAAAACATAAAACAATAAAACAAAACAAAAAACGACGAGGAAGAGTGAATGCGCCCCTCAGTGGTCACCACTAGTGCACACACTCACAACTACACTACACACACTGAACCGCTACAACATGCTACTTACCCGCTCAGCACACACACACACACACACACACACGCACACACACACCCACACACAGGGGACACATGACAATCTAGCTAGGTAGCTGGTGTAGCCAGTGTTGCTGCTCATCATGTTTGTAGCTCGTAGTATCGCTGCAGACCACAAAGATCTCATCCACGATGTGTCGTATGATTTCCACGGTCGCAGAATGGCGACTTGCTCCAGTGACCAAAGTGTGAAGGTAACTTTAACTAACGTGAAATGTGCATCACGCTGCTAATGTTAGCGTTAGCTCTCAAGGCTAAGCGTGTTAGCATTACCTACATTATCAGAAGTGCTCTGTGGTATTTACTGACCCACACCTCATATTATGTTATTATCTAAACGTGCGGATAAATATTCTGACCACATGTGACGGATTAACCTAATTAATTTAGGCCATTTGCTAGTTATGTTACCCGTAGCATATAAGCTATGGTTGCTACAGTTAGCTCCACATAAAGTTTTAATGTAAACACTGAAAACTTTATTTAAAGTCTATTTGCAAAAACTTCTATTTGCATCATTTATTTCACCATCTGTAATTAAGAGGTGCAATGTATAGTTCTAAACTCATCGATGATGTTTCGTAGTAAAACACATATAACATTTAATACACACCACCACACATACTGTGCAATATTTATTTTATATTTCTGCAATATTTTACATTTCATACTGTGCAATATTTATTTTATATTTCTGCAATATTTTACATTTAATACTGTGCAATATTTATTTTATATTTCTCCAATATTTTACATTTCATACAGTGCAATATTTACTTTATATTTCTGCAATATTTTACATTTAATACTGTGCAATATTTATTTTATATTTCTCCAATATTTTACATTTAATACTGTGCAATATTTATTTTATATTTCTCCAATATTTTACATTTCATACAGTGCAATATTTACTTTATATTTCTGCAATATTTTACATTTAATACTGTGCAATATTTATTTTATATTTCTGCAATATTTTACATTTAATACTGTGCAATATTTATTTTATATTTCTCCAATATTTTACATTTAATACTGTGCAATATTTATTTTATATTTCTGCAATATTTTACATTTCATACAGTGCAATATTTATTTTATATTTCTGCAATATCTATTTATATTCTGTTAAGCTACTACCTGTAAATAACTCCTACCATACATTGTCCATCTTACCTGAATGAGTTGCTTTTTTTAAATTTCTTTTGTTGTTTTTAGCTGTGGATGTTTGTATGTGTGTGCACTTTAAGGTGAAGCCAAATAATTTCGTTGTACAATTGTATAATGACAATAAAGACATTCTATTCTGTTTAAGAATGCCATTGACTTTCATATATAGGTACTCGCTTTATTACTAACTTTATTAAGTTTACTCAGACACTAAATCATCAGCTGTTATTCTCAGCATTGCCTTCCGTCTGCTTTGTTTCAGGTTTGGGATAAAAGTGAGAATGGAGAGTGGCACTGCACAGCCAGCTGGAAGGTAACCTGCTGCTGCTTGAACCTTTTTAACTAAGAAAGGCATTTTTGGTAAAATAGCAGCATACAAACCAGTGTTTGGATATATTGACAAAGATTCATTTTTCCTGTTCAGACACACAGTGGATCAGTGTGGAGAGTAACGTGGGCTCATCCAGAATTTGGCCAGGTTCTGGCCTCCTGCTCCTTCGATAGGACAGCTGCTGTCTGGGAAGAGATTGTTGGGGAGTCCAATGACAAGCAGAGAGGACTGAGCCACTGGGTAAGGGAAACTTCAGCATCCAAGCAGAATACAGAATACACCTCACATACATTTAATACTTAAACAAAGACTGCATTCACTGATCATAACAGTGAATCAACAAAGTCAAAACAATCCTACCTTGAATTTCTTCAGTTCTCAGTAATGCTGTAAGATAGTGACTGAGGAACTATTTCTTGAATAAAACTATTATTTATACATTTTATCTCTCTATCAAGAACATTTCTTAACCATAAGCTGCCCGGGTCAATGTATGATACCAATACTGCAAGATTTAGGATCCTCTGTAACCTCCAACTGACTGTTTACGTTGTCACACTGGTGTTTTTATGTTGGCTAAATGTTCATCCAATACACCTCACATACAAATAATACTCAAACAAAGGATGCTCACCAGTTCTGTAACTATTGCAGCATTCACTGATCATACACAATAATTTGTTGTTATGGAAGTTTACCCATCTGAAGCCCTGCTTGCACGGGATAGGTCATTTTGGAATTACCCCCCATTGTCAGTGTTTGTTTGGTGTGGTACATATGCACGTGCAGCACGATAAGTGTACTCTGTAATTAGCTCGAATTTACTAACATTTGGGATTCAAAAACAGCAAGGCTCTGCACGACATCCCCCTTGTAGTGCACTTCAAATGCAGGGGACATTGCCTAAATGCAAACATGCTGTTAGCATTATTAGAGCCTGCTGAAAGATAGAAAATGTTCCTTACTGGATGATGCAAAGCATGTCATCCATCTAATCATCACTTTTTCACATGCGGTTCTTCTGATTGATTTTAGTTTGCTCTTTCTACAAATGGATCTCCATACGGTGAAGCAAGCTGAGCCAGTTCAAAATGCTGTCAAAACTTTAGGGTACAACATCTAACACAGCCTCCATTATTCTCAGTTAGAAAGATGGCCAAAAAAAACATGAACAATATAATTGTCGTCCTAAATTACTGTGATGTTGATTCACACAGACTCCAGTACGAGCCAAGCTTTTTGATATTTCCATTTTGCTGTATTCTCTCTGTTAACTATCCCTCGTCACTACTGATAGCCAATTTTCTAAAGACTCAGGTTCTTAAAAAAGCATGTCATGCTCTTCTGTTTTAGATAAAGAGAACCACACTGGTGGACAGTAGAACTTCAGTGACTGATGTGAAGTTTGCTCCCAAACACATGGGCCTTATGCTGACCACCTGCTCTGCGGACGGAGTGGTGAGGATCTATGAGGCTCCTGACGTGATGAACCTGAGTCAGTGGTCCCTGCAGCACGAGATCTCTTGCAAGCTGAGCTGCAGCTGCATCTCTTGGAACCCCTCGAGGTTAGACCGTTTCTTTCAAAAAAAAAAAACTGTTGTGACATGTACAAAGCCTTTTCAGTTCTTTGAAATTGCCAGCTCGAGCTTTATTTAGTCTTGCGATGTAATATGAAGCTAAGTTATTACATTTCCAGATTTAATGTAACAGATTTTCTAAAATCATTAATTCACTTGATGTTATTAATTACTTTCAATGTAAGAACGGGCTAGGTTTTGTTTTCAGAATTGAAATTAGGCTGGATAAAAAAGCAGTTACCAGTAAATCTTGCAAAATGAATCCTCTCTGTCGTTGGCAGGAGAAGCCTTATGAGGCTTTCTTTATATTTTTGCTGAAAACAATGGAAAAGCTTTTAGATGTTCCACGATGTCGGCTAAGAACCCGAGGTGACAGAGCCTTTGCAGTGGCTGCTCCTAACTTGTGGAACAGTTTACCCGTGCACACCAGCACCGCCACATCTATTCACTTTTAAATTGATGCTGAAAACATACCTCTTTGTGTTGGCCTTTAACAAGTTGAGCTTGACATTTTATTATCTACCTATTTATTATAGGGTTTCTTATGGTCAACTGAGGTTGTTTTTTAATGTGCTATGTAAATAAACGTTGACTTGACTTGTCTATGGCATTTCAAACTCTGCAAAAACAGGGACATCTTGTGGCATGTAAGACTTTTAGCAGTCTTTTTTAAGACGTGAATAATGACATCTTGCTGATGTTACTCGTTTTGGTCTCCTGTGATAATAAAAAAACTAGAAGCTGGCATGATGTGAAAAAAAAGAAACGTATCCCTTAGTTCCGGTGTAGTGTGTTAAAAATAGATTTATATGATACATGTTAAAAGAAATACACTTCCATTATCAAACAGCCCAGATATTGTTTTTCTAACACGACATTTTAAGGAATCTGTTTGATGTACTTTGAGTATTTGTGAGTGTAACTTTGTGTTATTTATTCCTACCACCACTCAGCTCTCGTGCCCACCCTCCAATGTTTGCCGTGGGCAGTGATGACAGCAACGTAACATATGGAGGGAAAGTTCAGATCTATGAGTATAATGAAAACACAAGGTGGGTAACGATGTAGTGCTGTGTATGACTCTCTTCTTCAAAATTCACCAAATCTAAATCCCCTCATTTGATTCTTAATGTTTTTTTTTGTTTTTTTTAAGGAAATATGCTAAAGCAGAGACCCTGATGACCGTTACCGATGCAGTCCATGACATCGCATTCGCTCCAAACCTGGGACGATCTTTCCACGTGCTCGCTATCGCAACGAAAGATGTCCGAATCTTTAAGCTGGTTCCTATGAGGTGAAGTCTTGTTTTCTCTCATTGAGTTATGAAGAAGTAATGTCATCTAGATTTCATCAATGCTGAGTGTTAAAACAGATGTTCTAAACTGTAAAAACAAAAAAAAAGGAGAACTTACCAATGAGTCAATGAACTTTCTATAACTTGGATCCCTCTGACAGGAAGGAGAGCGTGTCTGCGGGGCCCACCAAGTTTGAAGTGCAGATTGTTGCCCAGTTTGACAACCACAACTCCCAGGTGTGGCGCGTCAGCTGGAACATCACCAGCACCCTACTGGCCTCTTCCGGGGATGACGGTTGTGTTCGCCTGTGGAAAGGTAGCTACTGGTGGTGGTGACTACTCATCCGTCTTCTTTTCACATGGGGATAGCAACCCTGGAAGCTGTGTTTGTGTTTAAATGTTTGTCCATTGTTACGATGACAGCGGCTCTTACAGGTATTGAGAGACTTAACCAATGCATTATTGGTATCGGTCTATTTTGGTAATTTGACCCTGGTTGTCATTTTCACAAACAGAGATGTGGTAGTTTCACAGTGCTAGAATTGCTAGAACACCAGTTTGAGGAAACCCTTGTCATCACCTCACACTTTCAGACTCTCTGTAGGCTGGTTGTTGACGGGGTTGTTGACACTTGAGATGGAATTGATCTCATCTTATATCAGTCTCGTGTCCAATATTGATGCAATTTACATATCGGACTGACGGCGCCGATCCACGTCACAGATTAAGAAAGATGGTTGAGCACTTTAAACATTCTCCACTCGCTTTGAAGATGTTCACACTGAACTTTAAGAAGTTTCCACAAATCATCTCCATGACGACGTTTTAACTATTTCATTTGACAACCAGACAGTTGTTGCTGCTTCCTGTTTGTATGTGAAGCTAACACAATGCAATGCTGCGTTCACTACAGCTTTATGTAGCCTCACACATACTACCAACAATAACATTATTAGTTACGATGATAATAAAAATATTGGTATTGGAATGGGATCAGAATTGGAAAAAAAGTAGATCGTTGCATCTCTAGTCAGCACTCAATGCATTTATCATACATTGTATTGAGCATGGTTATTATCATTTAGGAAAACTAACAAAATAACAAACTACAATATTACATCTTTACCTTAGCTGAAATAAAAACAAAACGAGATGAAACTATTCTTAGTTTTTGTTTATGAATCGAGCTGACTTATATTCTTTATGGTTTGTCTCTGGTTTCAGTTTTGGATGAGCTTGTTCACAGCAGAAGTTAATACTGTTCCTCTTTCTTGTACTTTATTCTACAGAGTATTTTTTTTTATAGAGAACTTGGCTGATATGATACAGAGACAGCTTTTTGATATAGGCTTGTGTCCCTGTGTGCACGAGAACTGAACAGTTTCTCTATGATTTTATAAACACATAAAACAGTTTCAGTTTGTTCTCATTTATGGTAAAACTTTTTTTAAATTAGTTTCAGTTAATGGAAGTGTTTTTTCCTTTTTTACTTTTTGTTTACGATCAACCTTTAGTGTGAACTCTCATTTTTAACTTCTTTGTCCCCTCTCCAGCAAACTACATGGACAACTGGAAATGCACAGGCATCCTGAAGGGGGACGGGAGCCCACTCACCGGCTCATCTGGCCAGCCGACAGCCATGAGCACTGTGGTGGGTTCCTCAGTTCAGACCTCCCAGAATGCCTTGAACGGGATGACTGCAGGAAGGTAGGTGGTGTGGTTCTTGTGATGCCACTCACCCAGCCTGTCTGACCCCAAGCCAGTCAGAACTGACAACTCACTATTCCTCACACTGACTGGGACTACAGCTGCTCACTTACAAACTCTCCGGGCCCCCACTGACCAAATGTTGCACTTATGCAAAGGGTTGCCAGCATAAAGCCTATGAAGTTGGATGCTTTGTGTGATTGTTTTTTTTGTTGTTGTTTTTTGTACTGCTGCATGTTGTAGGAGTGGTCTTATGTTCCCACTTTGCATTGTCAGTGGTAGGGCACAAAAAGTCAAATAAACCTGTTTATATAAATCTGATATGTGACTGTTATTTCAAATGCTAGAGCTATTTGAATACAGAGGAAAATTTATTTCTTACCAATTTATTTCTAAATAAAGAAACATTTGATTACTGCATCTTGAGGTTTACGTTTTAAGATTAGCAATTCAATCAAAAACTGTTAATATTTTCATATTTCTCCTCCTCATTTTCACTTCCAAACTTGAGCTGCTGTTGCCAAACTCTTTGCACAGCTGTAGCCGGACTTGAATGAACCCTATTAACCACCTTTTGATTTGATTATTTTTTCATTAATACAGCCTCTCACATTCGTGGCCTAAAAGCAAGACTGTGTAACTAAGCGGTAACACGTTTGTTGATTTTCAGATGAAAAACTGAATTCATTCAAAATGATATTCATCCTGTCTCTTTTAAAACACTCAGGGACTTTGATCATCATGTCTTACTTGATCTGGCATCACAGGTAACTGTCACTGGCTATGTAAAAATGCCATGTGAAGGACCTGGAGAGACAGTCTTAAGACTTTACCTCTCCTGTCTACATCTCTGATGGTTATGTTTTTTTCTTACAAAACTTTGAATGTATCACAGTTAGTGAATCGTGTTTAACTTGACACCCTCTTAACCGTCATAACCTCTGTATTAATCTTGCCTGGTGTTTATGACTCACCGCTAACCTAAGTAAACTCGAGACCTGAGCACTGTGTGACTACTGTTTAACAACTCTAAACAAATGTGATTGTGTGCTGCATTTTTGTTAAGGTAGTTGCATTAAAGTCGTTAATGACAAGAAAAGGCAAGGCATGGGGGTTTGTTAAACTAATGTGGTGTTGTACTGCTTGTTGCATGCAGGATTGGCAAGAGAGCTCCCTTTGCCCCTCCCCTGCGGCAGCTGACCTCTCCAAAGATATACCAGCATCCTGCATATTACTAATGTCTCCTCTGCATCAGCTGCACATTTCTGTTGTGTCAGTGCATTTGAAATGTGTGAGTCATGCTCTGGCTGAATACAGCAAGGGGTTGTTAAGTGGTTAAAGGAGCAGTGTGTAAGATAGAGTGACATCTACAGGTGAAGTCGAAGATTGCAAGCTTGGAGGAGAAGTGGTGTGATCAAAAACCTCAGCGTCCAGGTGCCACTTGTGGTATTAGAGAATAAAGTTCCCTTAAGACCTGTAAATCATTGTCCCCCACTGGCCACATTTGTAATGACTGAACTATTAACACAGTAATTATAATAACTTTTATTTATAGATTTGAATGAAGCAATGTTTCGAAACCAAAAATTAAAACAAGATAATAAAAATGTAACAGTGTTGGAAAAATAGTATGTAGAAGTAAAAGTTATATACTCCTACCCCTTTCTCTCTTTCTTCTTTTAGTTTATATGTTATTCCAACAAATGCTCACATTTATTCAAAACGTACAAACCAGTATCCCCAGTTTATTTATCTGCACCTAAAATAAATAAATAACAATCCACATATCCACCCAGTGTTACAAAAATAACAATAAATACCCCTAGAAGAACTTTTCCTCTTCCATTCTTCCATAAACCTGAATTATGATCATAATGTACATTTCAGATCAGTTGAGTTTTTTTTTTTTTTTTTAAACCTTCCTATGAGCCCTGAGTAAATGTTTTTAGAGAAAAACTACTTCACATGTTCAGTGAGCTCTGAACCCAATCGACAAACTTAAAAAAAAAAACAACCTCTAATTCAGCTGAATATGGTCTTATATGAAAGTCTTAAAAATACATCTGTGGTAGTGATGGTCTTTCAAAAAGGAGAGACAAATCTCTGGGTTCTGTTTTTTCTCTCTTGTTTTCATCCTTTTACTTTTTTAGGGAGGGGAGATTAAAAGTATGCTTGAATGTTAACACACTTCCGGTGACGTAGAGAAGAATGGGTTACTTTTGTTTTCCTCGTGTGTTTATTATGTGCAGTTGGCATCGAGCTTAGAGATGCATAACAACCCATTCCTCTGCAAATAGAATCACTAATCTCTGGATAACGATGTAGATAGCTTGTCTTAAGGTATCAGTGTAACTCGTATTCTGAGGTGATTGTAGGAAGAATACAATTATGATTATAATATTCCATTTGTGCTAAAACCAAAAAGTAGACTCCTTAATCTTACATACTGGACCTCTTAATGCTCTTTTATTGGCATGAAAACAGGATTTTCTATTCAGAGTTTCTTTAATGTTCCTGTTTCAACATGTCCCTTTATTTGTAGTTAACCTCTTTCACATCTTTGCATCTTCAGCCATTTACCTCTGCCTTATTTGTTTCCGTATGCATGCCATTTACAGCTTCTAGTTTTGTTCTGATTCTAACGTGTTTTCCTTTACATTTTATCTTACATTCTGCAAATGTGATCGCACCCTTTTTAAACATGTATCCATACTCTGCCACTGTCCCCTCTCACTTTTTTTCAAAAGCATGCAAACATTCTGTCTCATTTTTAATCTCTCATTTTTATTTCCTTTATGTCTCCTTTTGTGCCCCGTTGTCATCGTCTCCTCCCCGTCCATGTATTTGTTGTCTTCGTCTCCATTTGTTTGTTGTTGCTTCAGGTATTTCTTTCCCCCTCTGGATACTCCCAGAGCAGGGACCAGGTGTGGTCACCTGTTGCCTCCCTCCTCCCTCATAGAGCACTGTGATGTTGAGCCCATTCAGCCTCAGCTACAAGCTCTTCCCCACAGACTCTATTCTAGAGCACTGCTGCCCTTACCAGAGGCTGAAGGGCAGTGATTTGGGAATGTGCTTTATTTTCCACTTGTCTAAAATTAAAAAATGTATTAAAACATCAAAGATTTTGTCAAATTTGAATTATATTGCCGACTAAGCCTTTTTGAGAATGAATGTATTGCTACAAAATTGTTTAGACTAAATGAACTAACTTTTATTTTGTATTGTGCTTTCATTTAATGAAATGTGAAAAAAATCCTCCGATTGTTGATAAGTTTGTTTTTTTTTGCTTTGAAACAACTGTGAGTGTAAGCTGGGAATGCACACAATACAAAACACACTATCATCTTCAACCTCATTTCCAGCTGAGCAAAGGTATCACATGGTGATCATGGAAAAACAAAAACAACCCTCAAGGAGGAAGTTAGAAGAAACAGCACAAGGGTCTTATTTTAGATTATTATTTTCCATTACTGGAAAAAAAACAAACTGATAGAATCCATTCATGGAAGACCTCAATGTGAGACTGCTCTTCTATGAAAATAGCCCATGAGTCATTGTCACACATTTCTTTTGTTGTAAATGGATCCACTGTATTGAGTCTTGACCCTACCATTCAAAATGTTTCAGGTTTTCTCTTCCTCTTACTGAACAAGTAACTGATGGGATGCCTACCAATGTCATAGCTTTTTTTCTCAGGATATTTCCCTGAAGGCATCAGTTAGAAATTGCATTTTGCGTAAATATAAGTCACTACTCTTTAAATGTTAGCCTTGATAACATGATAGACTGTGTCATTTGTTCTGACGGGTGGGTATGATAAGGGCTCACTTCATGCTCAGATGCTTTTCTCTAACGGGAATGCATGGGAGGCAGCACTCAGCAGGCAGCTGTCTCTTAACCAAAGGCATTCTTGCAGCTGTTTAGCAGATCACATGATACATTTAAAACTCCTTCTTGGCCAGTAACTGTCATACTGCGAATCTTTGGTTTTATGTCCTTGCCCAGGGTGCTAGATCGTTTTCCGTAACTTTAACCAGGGGGCTTATGTTGAAATATATTCAATCTACATGTTCATGTTACACATTTCTGCAGTTCATTTCAAACAGTAATTGAAACTACCGTTGTCAGATGGCTGGAGCCTAAAAACATGCATCCCCTTCTTTTTCTTCTTAGCACAGACTTTTTTTACACAATAAAATAAAGATTAAAAAAAGATTTTGATTCAGGATTAGACGTGTGAGTGTTCTTTTATTATGTTTTCTATTTATTTTTGGTATGTTTTTGGGATGTTGTCATGTTTTGTTCCTTTGTTCTTTAAGCCATGCTTAGTCTGTAAAGTGTTTTGTACCTGTTCATAATTACCCGAAAATGTACAGAAGTTGTTTGTATTTACATCTAATGAGGAGGATCATAGACGGAGATTTAAAAGTCCATTTGCACGCACTACATTAAAGCAAATGTGTATCTCAGTAAATGGAGTTAAATTATGGAATTCTTTCGATAATCATTTAAAATGCTGCTCAAGTATCATTCAATTTAAAAGAATATATAAAGATATAAAGGTTCTGGGAAATTATGAATGTATTGAGTTAATCTAACTGATTGCATTTGATTGTTTCTATATTTTTTTTTATCTACTTTTGGTTTTGTGAAAGAAAGAGAAAACAACAGGTTAGCCATCTTATTCTGTTTAACAGTATCTTATGTTATTAGGAAAGGGGCAAGTATTATAGGTTGTCTTCTTCCTGCTCCTGTTTGCTCATGAACAGTGTTTCAGCATTAGATAGATAGATAGATAGATAGATACTTTATTGATCCCGAGGGAAATTCAAAGTATCAAGTAGCAGGTTACAAAGACGTACATGACATGAAACATTTGGTACAAATTAAAGCACAAAACCGACCCCCCCTCCCATACATATATATTAAATAAAAATAAAAACATATGTATAATTTAAATAAGAACCTATAAACAGTTGAGGGAAAAAATCTGTAATTGGTATCTGTAATTAGACCTGAATATAATTTTTTTTTTTTTAATTAGAAAATATTTTTTGTTGTTGTGTATTATGGTGTTGAAACCATACACTGAATTGAGCAAATAAATCAAATATGTAATGAAATAATTGTCTCGTTTTTACAACTCTGATCTGACCATCTGACCCTCTTTTACTCTATTCAGAACGCTACCGCTTACAATTCTAAACTTCCTGCCTCTCCGTTCTGTTGTCCAATCAACGCGTTTGAAATCGTGTAAGTCCCGCCCCCTCGGCCATGTAGCCCCCGCGGTAGCTTCCTGTGCTTTTCTGGGCGGGCGCTGCTCGAGCTTCCAAACTGCTGCAGTTAAGTTTGAAGCGTCTCAGTTTTTTTGTTTTGTTGCACTAATGAACAAACAAAGTGGATATGAAGTTACTTTTGAAACGTAACACCACACTGCGACGTGTTTTGCCTTAGTTTTTTAAGGATATAAGTCGAAGTTGGAGAAGAATCGAGGCGTCCGGCGGCTCCTGGAGGATTGAATGTGAGTCCAACTTCACGATAACGTTTAGGTTATAAACTCATTCTTTGAGATGTTTATCAGTGTCTTTAAAGAAATGTACTGTGGTAACCAACAACATAAGATAGTCAGCTTTTATAAAGTGTCTTCAGGAAACTTGTCTTCTTACAATACTTTGTTTAAACTTCATTGTTATAGTGAATTAGTCAGATGAAATGTGGAGCCACCGGGCAGCTTGGCAAACCCACTTTGTTTTTAGCAACGAGCTAGCGTGGAAAGTTAGCTGACCCTATTGGCTCTACTCGAATTTTATTTTATTTTTTAAATCAACTTTATTCAAGATACTGTTAGGCCAAAGTGTCCAGCTGAGAAATAACAATAATTAAGATTTTTTTTTAAGTGTGTATTCGTATTTTTAAACAACTACCATGCCACCTTTTTTGTGTGAAATGCATTTTGTTCTCACAGTAACACCTACCTTTTTATTTCTGTCTATTTTTCCCCCAGACATTTCAGATGATCTTCACTTGAGCTTAACGCCAAGCCCTACTGGCTATCACTCTCCATCTCCATTCAGAAACATGGCAGACAGTTTTTACAAGCTGGAAGATGAAGCCTTCCCCAGTTTTCTCTGCAAGTCTCTGGACAGCACCAGTGGCCGCGCCACACTGGGGAATGTAACATTGGGTTCAGGTCCAGGACTTCCAGTGGCTGCCTCTACAGTGGCTAAAATTAGACCTGTATCTGACAACAGGTGGGAGTATGCTTCGACTTTCAGCAGATGTGACTTGTTGTAGGAACACACTCGTGCATTGCGGAAATATGTGGCTGCAAACAAATCCTTCTGTTTGTGTGTTACATTATAACTTACTGCTGGAAATGGGAAGTTTTGGCATCCAAGTGCATATGAAAAAAAGAATGAGCCATAAATAGAGATGCAATATACACGTGTGACCATGATGCTGTTTTTTTTGTGTGTGAAAGCAGCGCCATGTGATTTTGCTTTACAGAGATGATGGTGTTGATGCATCATATCATGCTATAAAATTAATTATATAATGAATTTAAATGAGTATATTTTTCAGTCAACATTATTTGACTGAGTACTATATGTTTGAGTGGTATATTAACATGCACTTAGTATAACAGCTTTCTTTTGTACTTTTTAAGGCCCTAGTCTTTTTTTAATTTTATAGTAATTAAGCTCACTTAACACACAAAATAAAGCAGCAGTTTCATGGTATAAAGCACTGTGTCTCTGATGCTTCTCACCAAAAGTAGGATGTTAGGAACATCTTGGAACTGAGCGACTGCTTACAATGATAGCTCAGTTTTCAGATCCGAAACTATCAGCAGATGTGACTTGTTGTAGGAACACACTCGTGCATTGCGGAAATATGTGGCTGCAAACAAATCCTTCTGTTTGTGTGTTACATTATAACTTCTGCTGGAAATGGGAAGTATTGGCATCCAAGTGCATATGAAAAAAAGAATGAGCCATAAATAGAACTGCAATATACACGTGTGACCATGATGCTGGGTTTTTTTTTGTGAAAGCAGCACCATGTGATTTTGCTTTACAGAGATGATGCTGTTGATGCATCATATCTGGAGGGCAGAACATCGCAGCGGGCCAGCTCACACTCATCTGTAGGAGAACAGCCAAAGTTTTCTCTTGGCTTTAAAGATGATTTGTGAGTATTTGTATTTTCATATCTATATGTAGATCACAATTCACACAATTCTGTTTTTTTGTTTCTTTTCAGTCGTTGACTCGTATAAGTTCATAGAATTGTTTTTTTGACTGTAACTGTTTTTCTTGTAGTACTTGTTGATTTTTAAAATATTTTTTTAAAGTAAGCTTGTCTGTCAACTGCATGCACAAGTCATGCTATAAAATTGATTATATAATGAATGTAAATTAGTATATTTTTCAGTCAACACTATTTGTCTGAGTATTGTTACACTCGTGTGATTCCGAAGAGAAGAATTTCATGACACATTTTCAAACTAAATGTTTGGCAGTGTACTTTTTACTCATTAGTTTTATTTGTATTTACTTTCCACCTCTGATCCCACATAACTCATGTCCTCTTTATCATTGACATCACTGCCTTCATTAAAGGGACAATGCTGATGACTTCATCGCGGCCCACCGTCTTTCAGACTTGCTTGTTAAAATTAATCTGGATGAGAGTGTGTCCAGAAACCCAGGATCTACAGTGGGGCTTCCTTCCACTCAGACAGGCTTAGTCCAAGGACGGCCAACAGAATTTGGAACAGGTAAATCTATTGCTCCTGTCTATAAGTACAACACACCAATATTGCTCTTCTTGAGACTAATTAACCTCAATACTACTACATGGACATATGTTGTGCTTCCTGATACATTGAGAAAGATCGAAGACACATTTTCTTCTGATGATACTAATTCACTTTTTCTGCTCTCTTTTCCAACAGAACTGTCTATAGGACTTCTGACATTTTCTCAGTTTGGACCTAAAGATATAACTGATGAAAAGGTATTCATTTGAGCTCTTTCGGACAGGTTGACCACTTGGCTGTTGCACAAAGTGCCTGCAGTACTTGTGGCTTGGGGATACAGCAAAAAACGTCATCACACCAATTATTTTCGATATAGAATAAACTGATCTTAATCTCTCGGTATACATTAGAGAGTGCGACCCGTTGATAAACAACTGGTTACGATAGCTGGTCATTGGCTTCGTTTTCATGGACAGAAATAATCGTAATAAAAGGCTGATCAGAATAAAAATGCTTCATGTAAACATGCCAATCAGTACAGACTGATCTGATCAGACTCATTCTGATTTATTTTATGTTTACAGTTTATCATTAATGCCAGTGTAATATTTAATTCAATAATCTAACCAATAAGATCACTTTAATTTTTTTAAATTGATTTAATGCCAATGCATGAACATGCACGGCTTAATCCGATCATTTTATTTAGTGTCCATGTAAACAGTGAAATCGGAATCCCCAATTGTAATGATTTTAATCAGATTGAAGAAATTGTACACAAGTAAACGTAGCCACTGTTAACAAATCTGTATAACAATTACCCACATAGGTCTTTGATTCTCTTCAAAACAAATTGACCTGGTGATAAAAACTGTAAAAATGCTTAAATAGTAGTTCCACTTAAAACCTCTGTATCTTTCTTTAGCTCTTTAGATTTGGGGACTGTGAGCCTGACTGTTTCTAACTTTAGCTTTTCTTAATTCTATCATATATATTCCAGGTATCTGGAGAACAAAATCCATCATCAGCAATTCATCATGCTGCTATATTTTTGTGTTTTTTTTCTCCTCTGCAATTCATACAGACTCAGCCTTTTCCAGCCACAGCTGAGGAGGACAACGTGCAGAGTGAAGTAGTGGATAGTGACCATTTCAGTGGCAGCAATTCAAGCTTCCTGGCAAATGAAAAGCTCATGTCTGTCGACAGCATTACCAGTGATATCACAGGTATGACTTTTATTTAATTTAACTCGTGTCCATGTGCAATATTGACATGCTTATCTCATTTTATGATGTTTGATTTTTAGATGATGATATTGATTCAAATGATCTGCCTGATGATGAGCTGGAGCTCTATTTCAATAAGCTGGTGCCTCCTGCCATGCAGAGGGGAAGAGTGGAGGGCCAGGAGATTCCTGCATCAGTAAGACGCTTTGTCCTTTTCAAATAGTTTTTTTAAAATTTTCTATTTAACTATTTAATTAAATTAATGTTATTTTCTCTGTTTCTCCATTAATGTATTTTAGTACTCACAGGGACTGCCAACAACTGCTGATGACATATCCAACCCGAGTTCTACAGAGCCAGACCACCATAGACACCACTTCCTTGATGACTACAATCAGGTGAGCACATCAGCCTTCTTACCGTCTTGTGACTGTGTCCTGCTTCTGGCTCTTACTGTCTCAAAATACAGTTCAATTTCATAAAAATCACCCATCAAACACATTAATTGTGTTTCATGTTGAATTTAGGTTGAGTCCTTTTTGTTATTTTTGTAATGTCTAACCTCTACCTTGTGTAACTTCTATTCAGGAGGACTTTCAGATGCCGAATGTGCGCCTGGCTGCTACAGGTATGGACTCGTGTCCTGCCAGTGATGAGGACACTGAGGACGAGCTAGACTCTGCCAGAAAGAACAGTAATTCTTCCAGAACAAGGCTGCTGCCTAGCACCTCCAGGCAACTGGTAAAAAAGGGCAAAAACCTGCTTGTTTTCAGATTTTTTTTATTTTTTTATTTATTTATTTTTTACTGCAAAACTGAATTTTGCTTTTTTGTTATTTATTTCTATTCACGTGTGTTTCTGAATCTATATGCTGGTACAGGTTGGAGAGAGTCATCGTCCCAGTTTCAGGCCTGGATTAGAGGGAGGGAGTTCTGATGATGAGGCTTCCAGTGGCCGGGGCGGTCCATCTCTGTCTGGGATTGAACACAGACGATCAGCTGAGGGACAAGTCATCAACCTCCCGGTCCCAGGTGCAATGTCTCACTGAAATGACCGTTGTTCAATGCATTATTTTTGTTTTTGTTTTAAATATTCTTCTCTGCTGCTTTGACTTGAGTGAATGAGCAAAACTAAATTACAAATTCATCTGTCTACTTGAGTATTGTAAATATAGCAGAGGTCTGAAATATTGAACATGCTTGCAGCTGCTACCATTTTTTGTGCCCTTGAGCACAGCCCTGCAAAGCTTCAACATCCGTCAGTCTTCTGACAGCAGAGCCGGTACTTGACATATTTGGTTGGGACAGATCGACACATGAATTTTTGGGCTGATACCGTTATACCGATATTGGGGAGAGAAAAAAACCCCCATATATCTGCTGATATCTTTCTTACACCTGTCTTCGATCTGTAGAGATCGGTAAATACACATTTGTTGCGTTGTTTGCTCAAATGCAGATAAACACTTGTGGAAAAGGAGTATAATGAAGACAAGATGGTCACACAAATCTTGAAAGTAACTGTCACCGCTTAGCACTCTGGAGAGGGATAATCCTTGTTCTAATCCGTATAGCACACGCTAAATAAAATGCCATTTGACTGGTGAATAAAATCTAGAAATATCTGGATGAGCTAATATTGGCCCATTAATCGGTTGGGCTCTGATATTTGGTTTACCAGAAACCTTTGTTTCAGCTTTTACTTTCTTGGTCCCTGCTTTTGCTTGGATTGCAAACTAGCTTGCAACTTCAGTCAGTTGCATCATAAAATATAAGTACAGAGGATGTCATGAACAAGTATACTTTTTACATGGTTGCATATTGCTATGTTTTCTCACATGTTTGAAAAAAAAAGAAAAAACAACTACTTACCGGTAACTAAATCTCAACTTGTGTAAGATATTTCAGCCACTATGAATGTATTTAACACAGCAGGACAGTCATGCATCATCAGGTCATCAGTGGGTCTGTAGCCTAACCACTTAAGCATTTACATACTACCTGAAAATGATGTGCTACGGGTGTATGTAGCATTATCGCACATTTATAGCCTTGATTGTTGATACAAAAAAGTAGTTTTGACATTAAGGTTTCATGATTTCAGCACCGATGTTTTGTTTATAATACAGTATTATCAGGAAGAGAAATGGGGAGAGCCTCCTTTAATCTTAAAAATGTGGGTTTGGCGTTCTTTTTATTTTAACCGGGTCAGACACCGAGCGCATACCTGCCAACATTACTGAGGGTTGCTGTTCATTATACAAGGGGCAGTTTCTTCGTAGTTAAAGACCGATTATCTTGCCAACAAATCAATCTGCTCAGTTTCTCCCGTGACCATTTGTTTGTTTTGTCATTGTGTAACACCAGGAGATGGAGGAGGTGGGGATGGTAGCAGCGGGAGTGAGGAAAGTGGAAATGACGGTGGAGTTTCAACCATCCCTCTCCCAGCAACTAACGTCCAAACCACTTACGATGTCCTGCGAGGGCTGGGGATTGTGGGTAGCAGTGCTGTTGGTGAAGATGAGGACAGCGGTCTGAATAATCTGCCAGTGCACGGAAGGAACGGTGTCTCAAGACATACTGAGGTAGGAATAAGGCTCACTTCGTGCACTTTGATTCTGAAACAAGAGTAATCTATCACCCGAGTACAGGCTGCATTCTGATAACAATGAGGTAAAAGGAAAAGTGGTATCATTAATGTTAACTGACATATTTGTTAGTCGCTGTTCCAAACTTTAAGTCTCAAAATGTTTAAATTAAATTGAATTGTGTGATATTTTGCAGATGGGTGACCGTGTGGGTCCTGTAGGAACTGGAGAGGCCAGCTCCTCCTTGAGAGCATCGGGGGGAACTCAGAAAATTGCTCCTGTCAACTGGAGCATGGTGTTGGACCGACAGGAGGCGCTGGTGAGTGCAAGTGCTTGACAACTCTGATGACATTAAAGCCGTTTTTGCACATGTGAATTTTTGTGTGTGTGAAAGCACTATAAAGGCATTTTAATCAATGCGTATTTTATTCATGACTTCAAATAAATTGGAGAATTCAAGACCTGCTGAAATGGAAATGGCAGATTTAGATTTGGGGTTAAGTGTCATTATTAGAACAAGAATTGTTTGTTCAAATAAAAACAATTGGTATCTTTTGGCCAGTTTTAGCTTTTAGCTTTGCCATGTAAATGAGGCAAGTGGAGAAAATAGCTTAACTGTGGACTGTTGCACAAACAAGTAGACATGAAACACTTCCCAATGAGCACAAATAAAGTAAAAGTTGCAGAGTGTAGTGTGCATTCAAACATTTCAATGAAAACTCTTTAAAGTTATTTTTTCAATGAATGCCAGGATGCTATGGAGAATACAGACTCTGGGCCCACCGTTGACAGATTGCTGGACTCAGCCTACTTGAGGCCTGGAGCTGGACTCAAGAGACATCAGGACTCGACAAACTTAACTTTCTCCCACCTTCAAGGCACCCAGGGGAGCTTCCACCTCTCTCAGGTATCTCCATAGCCTGGAAAATCTGTTTTCTAAAAAACTGATTGGGTGATAACATAGTCACAATTATTTTAGTTTGACTCTATTTGGCTGCTTATATTTGTTCCTTTTAAGTTCAGCGCCACACTAGACTCCAATATTGGTATAAATGAGTGACATTTTACCCAAAAGAGGCATGCCAGTCACAGTTTTATTACACTATAATCAAATGCCTTCAGCATCACATCTCTCGCTGAAAAGTGTTTCAAGCCATTTCACTGCGTTTGAAAGCTTGTAAAATTATTGTCATCAGAAGTCTGGATTTTAACTAAACTGATCGAGTTTGCACATCTGCCAAAAAGCCAAATAAAAGGAGAAGCAACCTTGGCAACCACTCGCAGACTCGGTCCATCCTGCTAACTGGGGATGTTTTTCTGAGATGCCAACAACAACCCTACTTCCTCATGAACCGTGCAGCTCAGAGGTTGAAACGGGAACGTGCTGCGTGGATATGGCGGTTTTTAAAGTGACAGGAGCATATAGCATATAGCAGTTCACTTCCTTGTTTGAGCATGGTTGCTTTCCCATCTCCCGCAGACCGTACTCGAGTGCACATTAATTGTGCCCGAGACCCCCTTTTCAAGTGGACTCGGGCACGGTACCTGAGTGTGGTACGTTTTTGTGCACACTTATCAAAGGAACCAGACTTTGGGGTGAAGCATACCCTGATCCGGGCCCAGGTCCCTAGTGTGAAACTACCCATATATGTATGTTGGGTTTTGACTTTTGCACAATTTCACCTACTGGGGGAGTTCATGGAGCAGCTCCTCTTCAATCTCTTTGTTCTATTGTCCATTAAAACACTTTTTCACATATATTTTTTTCAAATAGAGGAAGTTTTCATATTCATTTAGCTGACTGACCTTGTCAACTATCTCCCAGGTTCTGCTTCCAGAGTGTAGTGATGAGAGTGATGCTGAAGGAGTAGATGAGCCTGACGGTGCCAGGTCTTCCTTGGGACTGAGGAATGGGCCCTGTGGGGATGTGAACGGTGCTGAGGCTTCAGGCGGCACTAGCGAGGAAGAAGAAAATCCTCTTTCCACCTCCCTGGAACCCAAGTATTTCTCCCAGAGTTTTCACCAGGACCCAGAAGATTCAGATGATGGGTGGAACCACTGCCCAGACAACATGGAACTGGAGTTCCAACAAGGTCAGCTTTATCTTAGAACTTTAAATCAGACATTTGTTGAGATGATAGAAGGTACATAAAAAACTTTGTATGATCTATGTACAGGGTTGTATGTTAAAAGCATTGTTTTTCTTTTTAGGTGCGAATGCGACTCAGGGTGTAGTGTACCAGAATGAAGAAGGGCAGTGGGTGACAGACCTTGCGTATTACTCCTCCTTTGAGAAAGAGGTTGATGGAAAGACATCACAGAAGGACGAACAGTTTCCGACCGAGGAGTTTGTTTCTCCCAGTACGTAGCAAATCTCTAGTTCTATTAGAATTCTATGTCATTGTTAGTGTTTTGCTTGATTCATGAATGAACCTGTTTGTCTCCTTTTCAGATGATGCTATGGAAAAGATAGTCAAAGATCAAGAGGAATTTGAAAAGGAGCACCAATTCATGCAGGTAAACACTGATCCCCTTCTTTTTTAAAGGTGATAGCCCTGGCTGGAGTCTTTAAGTTTTTGGTTTATTAATTCCATTTAAGTTATTGCAATACCTCTGGTATAAGGCCGTTACGGAAGAAGGGTTGAGATCCCTACACGGAGGGGTAAGATCCATAGGAATGATTAAAAAAACACATGATGGGGGCGGATAAGCGCTGGAGTTGAATATCTTTCAACATTTCAAAAAGGCGCCGTTGACGTCACTGTCGCTCTTTTCCAATGCATGATATTCCCTGTATTTTTGCCTCCTACAGATTGTGACCTGTAGCCTTATCCTCTTGGCTCTATTTCTGGAGGGGTTAAAACAATCTAAAAAAATATATAAGCACAGTAAAAAGCAATGGAGCAATGTCGGTCATACAGCGGCTGTTGTCAACAGACTGTTGTCATAGAGACAGGACGTGTTCAGCTCTTTTCTTTTCAAACATGCAACACTTCAAGTAAGCGCTCCCGAGCACACAGCCTCATGCGCTTTTCTGCCCTCTCTGCTAGGTGGACACAGGGCCTTATACTGAGGATCACTTACCTTTTAGTCAAGTATTGGTACAATCACAGATGTAATCAAGACATAGCTGTAATTGAAAGGTCATTGTCACTGTTGTATCCCAGACTGCATATTTGGCTGTAACCCAAGAATCCATATGCAAGTTTCTACAAAAAAACGAATGAATGTCTTGTATATTAAAATGAATAATATGTTCAGTTTGTGCATTTCTTGTGAATGCAAGATCTCATGCATGTTTACCACATTTTATGTCTTTGTTTGGAAAACGGATAATTCAGATTTTTAGTGAAACCTTTCTTAGTTGCACCAGAAGACTCGGCATACTGCACAAAGAGCATGATTTTATTAACGCACTAAGAAATGAAAATTCAGTTTATATTTCATGTTAAAGTTTTGACTTTCTACAGTTTATTTTATTTATTTTCCTAAAAAAATCAAAACGGGCTATATGACCATCTCTGATTCTTACTCTTGACACTAAACATTTTCGGATGGATATTTGTCTAACATTTTAGTTCCTATATTTTTATGCTATAATTTATGATGGAAGTGTCTTTATATACAGTATGTAAATTAAAACAAAAATATATCAATTGCATTTCTGCATTCTCCCCGACTCCTCAAGGAATTCTGAATTACCCATCAAATAACTACAATCAGTGACTACTTCATCAGGATATTGCAGTGTCTCCCCTGGCTGCCTCTCTCTGTCTCAATACCTAAGTGACAGTATTTGCTGTTGCAAAGAATTGTTGGCCTCTGCTGATGTGCACCTCACATCCACATTGCCAACATATTGGCTTGTGTATGTCTTAGTGCCCAAAGAGCATGATTTTATTAACAAACTAAGAAATGTCAATATATGTTTGGATGATATTGTTGGCCATGATCAGATTATCAAACAAATAAGGGATAATTTAGTGAAGAATGTCGCTGCAATATTGTGCCAGATGATGTTCACTATTTATATTTATTAAATGACCTCACCTGTGATTTAATTGAAACACTGTTCTCACAGGAGGAGAAGATTGAACCTGCCTCCAACAACACTACCTTTACCAGTGACTCATCTTGGAAGCATCCTACCAACAGCCATATCTTAATGAGGGCTTCCCAGGTCTCCTCTGAGTTTAAACAGGGAGACCAAAGCTACCTGCGACTGTCTTTTGGGCAGTTCTTTGGACAACGCTCTGAAGCCCTGGGCTGCCTGGGTAACAGTGATGAGGATGCAGTGAAACGGGTCAGTGAACTAAAGCTAAAAAAAACACTTTGATTCTTTCTGCAGTTCTCATGGGGTTGTTAAGAGTTAATACTTAGAAGCTTCCTATGCAACATAGACCTGCATACTCAAAGATATCCTACCCATTGTTTGAAGAGGTCTTATTGGATGTATTGGCGAAACTGATACCAATACAAACAAATCCTAAGTTAACCTCCTTTATTATGTGTCTCTTTCCTGTTTGTCCCTCTGAGAAGAAACTTGTATTAAAAGCTGATTCTTTTTTTCCAGCCCTCCTTTGGCTACGTTATAACTTCTCCAGAGAAGAGGGAACCGTTCGCCCTAATTCATCCTGCAGAGTTCTCAGCTAAAGAAAGCTCACTTCAAAATGACACTTCAGAACTCAGTGAAGCCGATAAGACACTCAACCCAGGTCTGTTTGTTTTTATTGCTGAGGATCAAGAATTATTTTTAATTTCATACTACAATGCTGATATAGTCTGTGTTAAGCTTAATTGATTTAGACTGCTTTTCTGCATGTTTCTCATCGTCTCCTCTGGCTCACTGCAGAGGACCTGGATAAAACTCTTGAGGCACCTGGTGGAAGGATGTCACCCAAAGGTGATACCAACTCAGAACCAAGAGCACAGGAGGTATGATTAACTTTGTATTGTCTTGATATCTAAATATAACCCCTACTGCACAGCTTTATGACTTCCTGACATAATTTTGACTTCCCCTCCTCAGAAACCTGTTAATAGAGCTGCCCTGCCCAGCCACACTGAGAGCTCTACCTCTGAGTCAAACTTGAGTAATCAAAGCTGCGTCTCCCCTGACGAAAACAACAGCAGCCATCTGATGCTGAGTATCAGCACAATCGCTTCGGCCATTGCTGATGCGTCCATCAGCACTGACCCATCACAGCTGGCTGCCATGATCGTGGAACTGTCGAAGAGGAGTAGAGTGAAGACTCGACCTGAGCCAACAGCTCATGGTGGACCCGCTATCAACTGCACAGACGGACCACAATCAGCTGAACCTGTGAGTCTTTGGATTTTTTTCACAAGTGTTCTTTTATTTACTTATTTTACATGTTTAAAGTTAGACATGAATTACTAAATTGTTCCCAGTTATGTTACATGTTACTTAAAGTCATTGTAGAGACTCCACAGATGCCCTGAGTGCAATTTCTTTGGCCGAGTCCGATTTCTAACTTATTTTTGAAGGCCTGACCTGCCAATACTGTTCTGATTTTCTTTTGAGAACTGTTATTGGTAGCAAAAACAAAACAGGCTATATGACCATCTCTGTTTCTTACTCTAGACAAATCTGCATCAGAAAATGTTTAGTGTCAATGTTTTAGTTCCTATGTTCTTGTGTATTTTTATGCTTTAATTTATGATGGAAGGGAAGATAGATGAATTGCATTTCTGCATTCTCCCTGACTCCTGAAGGAATTCTGAATTACCCATCAAATAACTACAATCACTGACTACTTCATGAGGATATTGCAGTAACTCCCCTCCTGCCTCTTTCTCTCTCGCTACCTAAGTGACAGTATTTGCTGTTGCAAAGAATTGTTTGCTCCTGCTGATGTGCACTTCACATCCACACCGGCAACATATTGGCTTGTGTATGTGTTCGTGTTTGTGTCGCCGCGTGCATGGCATGAAACACGGCTTGAGTGTGTAATTGTAAGATCTGTACAGAATTGGCTATATTTGTGAGAACCAGCCTGTCTACGATCATGGCTGAAAATCATCGGTATTCTGTCACCTGCTGGTCGACTGATGCATCACCAATCATCATCATCAACCTTTATTTAAGTTCTCGGAGAGATCATTGAGGTCGACCCTCATTTACAATGATGTCGAGAAAACATACATAATGACAACAGCGAGTTAAACCAAATGAGATAAAGCTACCACAGAAAATAAAATCAGTACAATAGCAATAACAACAATACAATATATACACTAAAATTATTTAAAAAGCTTGAATTTACTACAATGATAAGTCAGCAATTAAAATCAAATAAAACAGTTACAGTCAGGTATTGGGCGGTTAAAAATAATATTTCTAAAGTGACCATAAGGGAAAAAAGTGCTCAAATTCAGGTCCTGTTGTAAAATATTCCAGGAGTTTGCAGCACTAACACTAAAAGAGACTCCTACAAGAATAATCCCTTTGAGTTATCACTCATGACCCACTAGGATTCTCCTTCAGAACATCATAAAGGAAATGTACAAATTTGTGCTGGTGTAGGAAATTGCCACAAACATAAGTCTGTCAACAAGCTATTGAGAGTGACCCCTAATTTACATTTACATATCAAAGAGCAATTCAAATGAATAACATTCTGTTCTTTTTTGCAGATCCCTCATGAGCTGGATCACAGAGCACTAATGGACACACTCCAGAGAAGCACATGTGTTGGAGAGCTGAGTGCATTCGACATAGAGAAGTATCTGAAAAAGATTGATATGTCAGTAAGCAGTGATGCTTCTGTGGCACACACTACCTTTGACCTGACTACCTGGGCTGAGAACTTGAGCTCTCAGAGGAACCCCCCGGCAGTCAGTCCTGAGGAACAGGAGAGCTCAACTAGGTCTCAACAGGAACCTACAATTACAACAACTGGAGAAAAAGACAGACGAGGAGGGCCAACATTGAACACTAGCTCACCTGCGGTGTCCCTTTCCAATGCATCATCTCAAAGTCATAAAGTTGACTCGAGAAGAAGCTCTATTCCTCGTTCAAGTACATCTTTCAGCTCTGGCAAAAGATCTGTAGGTCTAGAGCAATCTTGTAATCTCAAGACCCCCGCAGACAAAATGGCAGCTTATGAAAATTACGCTTCTTCTGCCACCAAGATTTGTGGCTCCTCAAGCCAGACCCTCACAGAAAATGTAGCCAAGGCAGGAGAGCTGAACCCACTTGCATCAAACAATATGAGGTCTTGCTTGGAAACGTCACAATCTGGCTCGCAAAGAACCTCACCAGGAAGGAGGAACAGGCAGTCAGGACTGCCTCACATTAAAGGTTCCTCTCCTCCGACACAGAGGTTGAGGAGTTCAGGCCAGCAGCAGCATAACAGACCCAGTTATTCTCCGGAGAAGAAAGCGCTTTCCAGGAACAACAAGGCTGCTTCACTTTCTTATCCTTCCTTCGAGAAGCATGCTGGATTCTCTTTCCAAAACACCCAGCCTCCACAAGACACTGCATCTGGTGAGTAAAGAAAAACAGGAATATGGTCTCTGATATAAACATGCATGATAGGAAGTCTTCACATTGGCTACGATCAGACACATTTCTTCTTTAAGAATATTGAGATGACATGAATGTGAATATTAATAATCACTTTGTGTCTCAGATCTGCCGAAAGGTTTTTCTGAGCCCTGTGTAGAGGAAACCCAGTGTAACTTCAGACCGTCCACCTCTCCGCTTACTCACTCTTCTCCAAGTCAGACGTCCATCCCCAGTGCTGACGGGTAATATATGATCATTTAACCCTATTGAATCAAGTTATTAACGTTGTTTTAATTGTTGTTTAACTACAATAGTAGTAGTCTTTTGTAGCTGAAAATGTATTTGAATCCTTCTTCATAAACATCAATCCTGTATATTTACTCTGTTGTCTGTTACAGTTGTAATTCACATTTCTTTTGCTCACCTGATGAGAAGTATTACAAACCAAAACAGGACATTTGCGTCATTTTTTGCCATGTTTTATTCACTTTATGCTTCCCATTTTGTTTCTTTTATTTATATATATTAGTTTAGGGTCCCCGGCATCGACCAGTGGAGGTCTAGCAGACAAATGTCCAGTGTTAGACCTCTCTCCTCAGTCTACCTGCTCCAGCCCTAGCATCAGCAGGCTGACATACATCTCAATGAATGACGGCACGGTCATACCTACACCTGCAAGGCAAAAGGTATAGAATGTGAAATTCAAGTACTACTAACCGTAAAGTATGGCTGCACAGTATTGGGAGTAAAAAATGTGTATTTTGGAATATAAAAAGCTTCAACAAAATATTGTGCAGCCCTGACATATTCCTCACCTTGATCACTATTGTAGAGACACTTCTGATTATATATTCTTCAAGATGGTACATTTCAAGTGGTGTAGTATGACAATCATATAGGCTATAGTACGTTTTCAGAAACGTCTGCCCTTGAAACCTGAGTCGTTGCATTTTTTTTGTTGACATTTTTTCACGTGTTGTATATAATGTTTCTGGTTGTTTGCCCTTCACAGAATAACTGTACCATGGCTCTCAGCACCACCATCATCAGATTCAGTCCGACTCCACCTGTGGAACAGGATACACAGACTAACCTTGATATTACCCGCCAGCCCAGCTTGGACCAGATGCAACCTCAGCATTCTAAAAGTCTTGACCCACTACCATCACAACAACAATGTAAAAGCCCAGATCCCTCATGTAGTGGTCCTGCTCTGACTTGTACTCGTAGCCAGAGTGAATGTAACTACCACTGCCCTGGGGACAGAACTGGTGATCTCTCAGCAGGTTACAGGAACCAAGGCCCCCTCTCTGGATCCAATGTACGACAGCTCACTAAAGTGGACTCGGGCTATTGCAGTAATCTCAACATTCCACAAACCAGCAGCACTGCAGCTCCACAGAGCTCCCAGCAGTGGGGAGCATCTAGCTCGGTGTCATCGTCTGTGTACGGTGCTGGCCTTGGCATGCCTCCGTCCTACTCATCAGATGGACTTCACTATGTGCCAATCCCTAGCTTTAAGCCCCAATGTCCTGGACTTATCGACCTTCCCCACCAAAGAGATGTGCAGTCCCTCCCCACTGGACACCCTGTCTTCAATCCTCAGCTAACTCAACAGTATTTGGGACCCGAGGCTTCATTACATCCTGGTGTTTATCATGGAACAGGAACTGGTCTCTTCAGTATGTCCTCTACAGGCATGTCTTTTCTCGCTTCTTTCAAATGACCTTTGTTTGATGGTATACACATATAATAATGCAGCATAATGGGTAGAAATTCCTTAACAAAACATCTGTAAACTGAACAATAATCCCCCTCTGTATCATCACGTATGACCCACTTAAAGTTTGTGTGTCTGTATCTAGACAGAGAGCCCACCCTTTGACTGTAATATCATATCAGGCTAGGTTTGGGAGATATTTTTGGGTCAATAATTTTGGCAAGTGTTGTGTAGCCTTACTTTAGTGTGTGCATTTAAGGACTCAAAAAGCATAGCAACCAAGTCACATTGTTCTCTGTCTCTGTACTGTCAGAATTGCTATAAGCGTTTTCTGGATTAAAACAAAATCAGTCGCCAGATGGGTGTACAAAGAAGCCAGTTCAATGTATCCAGGCTTTCTTTGAGTGAGCTGGCTTGATAAAGCCTGAACTTGTAGTTAAAGATATTGGGTATCACAAGGCTGGTCATGAACTTTATCTCTTAACTCAGGCTTTGTGCAGGATCACCGAAAAGGGGGCATTTAGCGCGACATTTCATCTGCACAAAAAGGAATGATCACTGGCTGTCTGCTTCAGTCAGACTGAAAATATGAGAAGAGATGATAAACATTTAGTAATATATTATTTTGCAGAAGGAGGGTGACACTGTAGAAAATTGCTGTTTATTCATTTATTAAACGTTTGTCCCCCCATTACCCCTCCGCGACATTCAGATTGAAGGTGAAACTCCACAGGGATTTAAATATTGCGCCTTGAGGTGACTGTCAATGGCCCTATTCAGACAACCTCTGCTGCTCTCCCCCTTGCTTGTTTAATCAGGGGAAGAGGGCAAACCTTGAGCTGACAAATACTACTCACTCTACCTCTGCCTTAAATCCATAAAATAAAACTGACAAATGGATAAAGCTTCCTCTATTTTCTTTTTCAGGCATACCCAACAGTAATCTCATGGTGAGACACACCCATCACCCATCAGGTCCACTGGGGATACCTGGGGCTGCTGGGTCCCATAACCTCCCTAGAACCCATCACTGCCAACAGGACATGGGAATGATGGGAAAACCCTATGGTCATTTCGGTGCTGAGCCCCTTGTGGGAGGTGGTCTTGAGGAACTTAAAGGTAGTCGTGTTCTTGGTGATGTTTGACAGTAAAAAAGACTTTTAAACTGTAGCGAGATGAGACATTTATTGAACAGTTTTCATTTATTTATGTTCTACTTTTACTAGTCATATCTGTGGGGAATCCTTTCTCACATACAGGGATCAGTCAATGTCTGGTGCACACATTCATACTGCTTTTCCAGCCTTTACATGTATCAGGTGTCCTCATTGCACTGTCATCCTCAGGCCAAGTGATGGTACCAGAGGAACTGCGGTTTCCCCACTCCTGCTGTGTAGGCATCGCTTCTCAGACCTCACTCAGCCTCTTCAACCCCTCTGAGAGATGGCAACAAGTGTCTATCAGTGTCAGCAGCCTGGCCATTGATGGAGAAAAGGTGATCAGGAAAACAAACAGGCCAATAATATAATTAAAACGATGTACAAAAACCTTTATCATAACCCACTCAACAATAAGTTAATTAAGATAATTTTCCTCACAGGTTGACAATTTGCCGTACCAATGGCTGATAATCAAAAACAAGACCATCATTGGCCCGAAGAGCACGGAGGAGCAGAAGGTTTTGTTCATCCCGCCTCATGCTGGCGTCTATCAGTGTGTTCTCAGTGTTTGCTCATGGCCTGCTTCTGCTGAAACAGAGGTTGCTGCCAGGGCCAATATCTTTGCTAAAAGGGTCGTGCTGGTTGCCATAGCAGAGAATCCTGCACTAGAGGTGAGACATCACTCCTGAACAAAGTAGTCTGCTTCTAAAGAAATAGAGCAAAGTACAAAACAACAAGTTCATATTTATCTATGAAGAGATTGTAGGAAGCAAGTTGCCTATTTATGCATCTACTGATTAGTTCTAAGTTAAAATCTTCTTATTTCTCAGGTTGAAGTAGGTAAATCTGGCTGTCTAGACTTTGGAGACCTTCCAGGAGGCAGTGCCAAATCACTTCCTGTCACACTGCTCAACCGGACTCATGCTACAATGCCCATCCGCCTGGTCATCAGCGCAGTGAGTCAACTGCATACATTTCTACTTATTTTTAGACCACCTAGGACACATAGTATACATACCTGCTGAGCCAGAACTGTAATACAGTGCCATCTAGTGGTAGTGTGTTGTTCTTGCATGAAACAACTGTGCAATCTTACAACCTAGTGCACATTTGTTAAGTCTCAGGGGATTTGTGCATTTTCCTTTACAAAAAAACGCAATTTATCTCCAAGATTAGGATAATAACAAAGAAAACCCTCAATATGTTGTTAATGTGGTGACAATCTGTAGAGAAGATAAATACAAACAACTTGCTGTCCTCTAGTTATGGAAATGTTTAAGTAAAGATCAAAAGTTGTTTAAAGTTTTTAAATTAAATCTATAAGTATTTTTTACATGATACTTTGATAGTTTTCAATACTTTTTTAAAATGATAAAATCTCAGTTTTTTTTTAATGATCCACAGTATTTAAACCAACTTAGGTACAGATAGAGAAATAGAAATACCGGTACCTGTGGTGGTCCATACAAATCCATCCATCAATCTGTTATCTTTACCGCTTTTCCCGTTCGGGGTCGCGGGGTGGCAGACAACCAGCCACACTCACATTCACACCAATTTAACGAGCATGTCTTTAGATTGTGGGAGGAAGCCGGTGTAACCAAAGAGAACCCACACATGCACGGGGAGAACATGCAAACTCCACACAGAGAGGTTCCTGTCTGACTGGGATTCAAACCAAGAACCTCCTTGTTGTTATGCAACAGCGCTAACCCCCATACAAATGTACTGGTTGGCAAATACTGAGAAACTAGTGTCAGTCAATCAATCTTCATTTGTATAGTGCCAATTTATAACAAATGTTATCTCAAGACACTTTACAGAAAGCAGGTTAAAGACCTTACTTATAGTTATATTATCTACAAAGACCCAACATTAATCCATCATGGCAAGAAAAAAATGTCCTTTTAAAACCTGATTCATGAACATCCATCTGCAGAAACTGTGCTGGGCTTGTAAAATGGGATAGAGGAAGATGCTGTAACAGAATGGGCAAATCCAAGCAAAATGCATACAGGTGCAGGACAAAAAAAAAAATTAACTGCTGAAAAAAGGGGAGAACAGTCCGTACAGCGCACACAGTTCAGCTCCCAATGAGCAAATTCATTTAAACAGGGAAATGTTTCGATCCAAAACTCAATGTTGCCCTGTTTCAAATAAAATAATCAAATACCCAGTAATGACATTTCTCAAGACATTCGGCGACTCATGAAGGTGCGTTGCAATTTGCGCTCTTGCCTCTCACAAAGAGACCGAGAGCAGAGGAGGTTCCTAAATGTATTTTTCCAATTTAGACATGTGCATGATTTTGCTTGCATTTTTTGGTACCGTAATTAAAAGCAAGAAACAACCCAATATTGGGTGCAGAGGACTTCCAATTTTATCTCCATAAAACAAAACAAGTTATACTGTTTGTGTTTTAAGAGTCTAATTATAATGTTTAAAACTCTGGTATTTTGACAACCCTGAAAGGTACAACATTCTGCTTAAATCAGGCCTGTAGAGTAAAAAGCTATTTTCCAGGATAGCAGCAAAATAACAGCAGTTAATGTGATGAATAGTATCTGAGGGGTTCACCTCATATATCTCATTCTCTAGAACGCTACAGCCTGGCGATGCTTCACCTTCTCCAAGCAGCCTGTTCTAGCATCGTCTGAGGCAACTCAACAGGATGGACACATGACCACCGGGTCTTCTCCCTCTGTGATGAATCATGTGATGCATGCCAGCTACGGAGAGGTAATAATCAACAAAATGTTTACAGCCTTATTCAGCACTTAGGTCAATTGTCTTATTCCATATTAAGGGTGTGTTCTTGTTTCATATTCATTTAAACATGTTGAGGTTCTTTTGATATTCACCCATGAAAAAGTAATAATAACATTGATTTCAGTTCAGTGTATAGTTGTTCTTTTTTCTAACTGAGATGTGTAGAACATTCAGGTATTACAGGTGGCCCATGGTGTTTTCTGACAAGCACAAAAGCCCTAAAAGTTACCTGAAATTTCCAGGGTCAGCTTCAAGTGTAAAGTAAACGGTCAAATTGTTTTCTGCCAGCCCCCTTTTAATTTTTCTGGTGAAGTCAGGGTGAGCCAATATATGAACACAGCAGGTAAAAGTCAGAATAATTCACCACATCATTGCAATCATCCTGTATGTAATGAAGCAGCTTTATACTGTTTTCTTGTTCTTATCTGCTCTTTAGTGCAGTGTTTCCAAACATTTTTACCTTGGAGCTTTTATTACCTTTATTAGTATCTAAGAAAGGCTAAGGCCCCTCCAGGACTTGCACATAGAGGTGATACATTGCTGTTAAAAATTAACAAAATTAATTATTTTCATTGATGAAATCTGAACAGAGTACACAGACACACACTTGTTCTTACCAAAATACCTTTGTATAAACTATCCAGCATGTGTGTTATCATGTATTTAGTTAAAATGTGCAGATCTAATTTTGACAGCCTCTGAGCCTTGCATCCCCACCATTGATATTTAGTCAAAAACTGTCACCACAGTGTCCTACTCTGTTGCATTGCCTGTCATCTTAGATTTCTTGTAAACATTACGACCCCAGCATATTTTTTACATCATGCCTGAGACCCCTCCTGTCCAACAGGGAAAACTTCACACAGTGCGGGACAATCATGAACAACAACTTTGGAAATTTTCCGGGGAAGGCTGCGCTGAAATTTCTTTAGAAATTTCCAGTAGTGTATATGGGAAATCCTCTCTAGTTTCAAATGTCCAGTCTCACCTATAGAGCTTTGAAACTGGTTTTAACATTCATTATTATATTTTTTCCCTTTTTTCAGGATCAGCAGGGCTTCACGGTCTGGGTTCACTTCAGAGCCCCTCAGAAGTACACAGCCTCTTCAGGTAATTAACCTGAAGATTTCATCTTTATGTGTCTTAACCCCTTACCATCGAATAGATCTTATCTTTTTATCTTTACATTTACATTTTCTGCTGTTGGTACAGTCATAGAACTTTTTTTTTCTTCTGGTAACCAAACTGTTTTTTTGCTGGTTCTTGTCAGAAGACCTCGGCCCAGCTGATGAGTACAGTGCTCGGGTGGACATTGAAGTGGACTCTCCAGGTCCGAGCCATGTCATTAGGAGTATACCCCTCAGGGCGAGGTCTGGAACTGCAAGGGTTCATGCTCCGAAGGACCTGCAGGTAGTCTAACTGTTGAGTTGTATTTTTTTTTCGACTGCTCATGTAGCACTGCCCACAAATACTTTGCAAATCCTTTGTTTTGTTTATCCTAAAATGTAAGCTGCACTTTGCAGCAGGCAGTGAAGAGAATGGGTCTTGATTTTAGTAACCACCTTAAAGGAAGAATGTGCAACTTTTTGATCCAGTAGATGTCGCCCTTGAGCACCAGCATGAAACAAAAACAACTCACGCTGCATTGTTGTTAGCATGCTAATACCAGTGCTATGTAGTTTGCTCGTAGCTTTACACTGCATGTAAATTTACACGAAATGGCCGTGATCTAAAAACGCTTACGTGAAATTCAAATAAGCAGTGAGTATAGTATGTTATTCTTCTTTTCTCTAGTCCTCGGGTGTCACACTCATTGTATACAGTAATGACTCAGAGTTATTTTCAGAGGATAAACTTGATTTCTGCTACATTTATGTGTAAAATGTTGCATAGTCAGACTGTAAACCTTGGTCATTGTCTAAAGTACATGTAAGCGCACCCGATCAGTCACTGTGAAATGTGTACATTTGATTTTTAAGTTCAAAGCCAATCCATACAGAATGCTTGATTTTTGCAACGTTATGTCTGATGTTACATTTTAGAGTGAAGTTTGTACTCAAAAGTCTTCCAACCTGCAGACATACATCATATTTACTCTAGAATAATGTCAACAGACATGAGAAATGAAACTTCTAGATTGACATACTTGACTTTGAATTTGACTTAAAAATACCCTTTGAGTCATCGGGTTTCAATCTTTTCTCACCTTGTCATGGCCTTACTTTGAGTTGGCATTCAACTGCTTTTTGCACTTCTTCTGTCTAGACTGTCAGCCTGTCTGCTCCACTGGGTAAATCAAGTCAACAGATGCTGCCATTAAAGAATGCAGGAAACATCGATGTGCAGCTGAAACTCAAGGTAATCCTGACCTTTACTTTTCTTATTAGACCTGGGATTTGGGTAAGCCTCAGTGACATTTTGAGCCCAGACTGTGACACACAGCATTAGGGATTTCTGGATATTTGGGGCAACTTATTCATATCTTCTTAATTCTTCACTTCTTAATTCTCTTGTTAGCGCTCTACTTTTTTCTCTCCCTGCTCTTCAACTATTCTTCTTTTGTTCTCTCCTGGCTCCTCTTTTTTTCTAACCAACCTGATCTTTAATCTATTTATTTTCCATCTCTGTCTTCTTGTTGTTGTTGTTGTTGTATTTTTTCCCCTCTTGTAGTCATTTATATTCCCTCTCATTCTCTCTCCTTCATTCCTTTTAATAGCGCAGCGATGCTGAGGACAGTTTCTCAGTGACACCTGATGAACTGTATCTGAGAGTGGGAGAGGAGCAAGGCATCATGGTCTCTTTCAAAGCTCAGAGCAGCAGGAAATATAGAGAAAGGTAAACTCGTTATTATGCTGTAAAAAGATTTTGCAATTGAGAAAAGTCAAGTCTATTCATCCAATTCTCAACAGGTCCGTATTTAAAATCACCAGGATTTAGCTGATAAAGAGTGTTGTGTTACATCTTTGTTCCAAATGTCCTAATGAAACAGTTATTTTTGTAAAAGCAGCAATTTGTTATTCTGGCATCACAGAGTTTTTTTTTTTTTGTAGATTAGTCAATTACGTGTTTAATAATAATGTTTAATGCATACTTAAAGGAAAGACAACTTAAATTGGCCTATAACTACTGATTCTGCTCTCTCACTGCTGGTGGGTTTGTTTACAACATACAGCTCTTACTGCAAGCAAGAAGGAGGTCATATTTCGCAGATTTTACTGAAAAAACAAAGACTCGTGTACAGAATGTGCTGTTAGCATGTCTAAAGCATGCCCCTAGTACCAGCATATCAGAAATCTGAATCGAAAGAAAATACTTTTTTTGGGGCGGCTGTGTCACAGTTGATAGAGCCAATCGTCTCCTGGAGCAACATGTCCAATGTGTCCTTGGGCAAGAAACTTAACACCCTGTTTTTATCAGCGGCATATGAATGGGATTAGTTACTTCTGATGGACACTTTTCATAGCAGCCTCTGCCATCAGTGTGGGAATGGGTAGGTGTGTAAAAGCGCTTTGAGTCGTTTGAAGACTAGAAAAGGACTCTACATCTTCAAGTCCATTTACCATTTTCCATTACACCCTCTGGGGAATCCACACAGAAGGTATCTACTAATAGCTGCAAACTTCACACGTCCAAGTATGACTGTTGAGAACAAGCCTTGTGACTTATTTTAACCTATTTATAGTAATGATTTTATGACACATTGTCCCTGAGAAAAGTTAAATTTAAATCATCGTCATATTTGGAATACAAGTGGAAAAAATAAGTAAAAAAATGTATTTGTTCAGTATCAATCTGTGTCTTTAATCCTAACAGTTGTGATTTATTTTGCCTCAGAGATTCTAGACACCTCTAGTTAAAGTCTCCCCTCATAAATCAGGAGAGAAAATAATCTGTATTCTGTATGTTCTTGTTGTTTTTGCAGCCTTCTCACCATCCTAGTGCTGCCATCAGGTCCTCAGTATGAAGTAACGATGAAAGGAGAAGTCATCCCAGAGGAATCGAGGAAACCTGCCTTTCCCTCCTCTGCTGTCATTGGTCCTGGTGTGGCCGCGGATGTTCCACCAATTCTTTCTAACAAACAATTTGTAGCCTGGGGAGGGGTCACTTTGGGACGAGCTGTGTAAGCAACTTTTTGGATTTTCATTAATTTCACTACTACATGAAAAACACATGAAAACACTGGCAATCAATAATTCATTGAAATGTAATCGATAGGAAGTTTAAGGCCCATTGGTCACTTTATTCTATTAAGGCTTGTATAATGTTATTCATGAAGAGGGACAGAGGTTTGTCTACTGGGAGTGTTTTTCCTCAGAAGCTATTTCAACATAATCATCAACACACAATGCATTTAGTCTCATTGAAGGGGGGTAAAGTAGAAACAGCTAAAGCTTCTTTGAATGTTTGTAATCTCTAGAGGTTTAAGTGTGTCAAGGCTTGACTTGGCTATTCAACACTAGTTAAGATATTTAGAGAATGACTCTCAACTTCAAGGTAAAGTTTATCAAAGATACCAATTTTATCGCTGTACAATTTTAAAAATATAATCAACATTTGCCTTTTTTTCTCAGTCAACAGAAGCTGGTCCTGAGGAACAACTCGACAAACGTAACACAGCAGCTACGGTTGCTTATACGTGGTCAAGACCAGGACTGTTTTCAGGTAGATTGTATTCATTTAATAATGAAATGGATATCTTTGTTATTTTAGTTTAAGTTGTTATACAGTACATTCCAAATTGCAGCAACTGCAGAGATTTCCACTATTGTTTGTGCTCTTTGTTGCCTAAATTACCAACAATTCATCATACATGACTAAATAAGTGGGGATTTATCAGACACATTTGAAATTTGAATTTCAACATCCCAAAATCCCATTAACAGCCTATTCTCTGTAAATTGTGTTGACTTTTGTATATGATTTGAAATTTGTGTCCTTTCCATTTTACTTTATGCTGTTTTTAAATAAGCATTCATCATTTAAAAGTGATAATATTTGGCTGCCTAAGCAGTATAACAGTGTTTACATTTGAAGTATATGAACATTGTATTCCCTCAGCTCCAGAGTATGTTCAGTCCTGAAGAGCGCCTGACCCGACATGGGGAGCTGTCTATTCGTCCGAGGGAAGACGTGACTGTTCACCTGCTCTTTGCTCCCACCCGAGTGGCCTGCATGTTGGCCAAGCTGGAAATCAAACAGTCCGGAGTCCGGCCTTCACAGCCTGGGGTTAAATTCACTGTGAGTATGCCACATTTTCAATTTATCCCTTATAGTCATCTTTTACTTTGCATTTCTCTCTCCTGTCTTCTGTCCACATTTCCTTTTCAATATTTTCCATTTCCCTTAGAAAGACCTGAGCTACAGTTTAATTTGGTCTCTATATTTCCCCCATCAGATTCCACTGTCAGGCTATGGTGGGACCAGTAACATCATCCTGGAGGACCAGAGGAAACAGGCAGATGGCTATGAAGCAATACTAAGTGACATTGCTGTTAGTCGCGTCAGCAAAGTGTGTCTATGCGTTAGGAACACTGGCTCCAGAGCAGCTTTCATCAAAGCTGTGGCCTTCTCTGACGTGCAGACACGAACAGTTATGGAACCCTCTGTGATCAGCCTGGCTCCGTCACAGTTTGTGCTGAAGGAAAGGACCCAAGAGGTAGGGCTGCCCAATTAATCACAGTTTCAGCGTTGTCGCCGTGTGAGCAATCACTGTAAACACGGCAAAAATACATTTTATTTTATGTAAACAAGCAATGCGTTCTCAAACAACATGCATCCACCTGTGGGAGTATAATGACCGTTAGTTATTTGCTACCATTGGATGAATCTGTGACAATTTAGCCCTTCATTTTATTATTACAGTATTGTACAATGTAATTACACGTTTTTATACTGTGCAGCCTAACAAGAGGTAGAAGAGTGCACTCTACAAGTGATCTACACATTTTTCTATATCTGCTGGGTTGGACCCAATGAAATATCTTCGATTGAGACATACATTAAATTTTATCTTAAAACTGGCAATAGTCCCTCAGACATTTTTTCTGTGCGGATAAATAAAATAAAAGGCAAATGAAAAAAAAAAAAAAGAACTCATTTGACCTCCAAAAACAGGAGGAAATTGTTACAAAAACAGTAACAACGTAAATGATATTGATGTTTGCTACACTACAGGGCAGCTTGTAGCCCCTCTACATGAAACTTTTTCAAGATTTCTTTTGTGAACATTTTTTTTAGTTGGCAGTGTGTGTGCATTACCATCATTCATTAAAATTAAAATAAATACACCACTTAACTTGGAGCATATGTGCAAGTAGTTTACAGATATAAATTTTCATGTGTAAAGAGAAATTTCAAATACGCCATATATGTCCTTGTGTGTATCCACAAGTACAATATACACAGCCAAATGCCAACGAATCCAGAAGTACAATGAGCTTATCTAAGCAGCAGCATAGCCTGAGACTCGCCCCGACATCCCATGTCTTTTTACAACATGAAGCTGCTTTTTTCAGTGTCTGTCCAATGTTCTTTAACAGTATTTTAATACATTTTAATTATCTTTACTTCAATTAAATAATGATACAAAAGCCTCATTGTTTTGCTTCCTTATGTGTATTGCTGCCTCACATGTATGTTCTTATATGTGACCTTTCTGATACCATTTGTTCATGTTTCAGGTGATTACTGTGCTAATGAAGTCCACCCAAAGAGAGTTTTCCCTGAGTCTGTCAGGGAGTGCCCTTCTTGCTTCAATCTGTCTGTTTTGCGGAGATGAGATGTCCAGGCAACAGTACAGGAGGTGAGTGTTCAAAAACAGTTTTTATGTTGTTTTTGTCAGTAAAGTACAGATGTTAGCTGGTATTTAGAAAAAGTTTTCAAGTCAAACAATGAACTATTTAATTATGATTAATCACATTTTTAAATATTCAAAATGTGCAACATGGAATTACAAAGAGTGCTACTTGCAGCCTGTTGTGAAACAGCTCCAATATTTAATTTATTATTTTTCACCTGGGGTAGACGATCATATTGGGGCCCAGGCAACCCTGGCCACCCCCTGCTCTTGTCCGTGCTGCTAATCCAAAATCACCTGAGGCCATCCAGCTCATCACACACACCACTACGCATGCAGAGGCGTCCTATTACGTAACTTTATGGATGCACAGTCAGGACCACTCAGACAGCTGTGTTTACACTTTGCACAGTTTTAGCCAGATGTTGCCAAACACCCAAACTCGAGCACACAAACCTCCGTTTAACCGTCCATAACTGCCTGATACAAATTAAAGACAATGAATGGCTTACCTGACGCAACCGAAGGAGCCTCTTTTCCAGGTGGCATAGTTGTTCATTATCTTCCCAAGTGACAGTTTTGAAGTCAGATGGCCTCACTATAATGCATAAACCACGACTCCACATGGTGAATGGCTTGATCAGGAAAAGGGACTAGTGAAGGATAATTCAGGCAATCCAAAGGCCCAGAGCAGTAGCATGAAGAAAAAAATAGGGAGCAGCCAAGACGGTGCAAGGTAGACTTACAAAATATAAACTAGAAATATAAAATGAAACAATTAAGATACAAAATAGATAACATGGATTAAAGACATACAGTAAGAGACAGTGATCAGACTATGATGATTAATTTCCGTTTGAAAATAATTAATGCATCATCAGTGCATTGCATGCATTGACACTTGAACACTCTGAACTGATTAATATTTTTCCAAAAAGCCCAGAATATGGTCCGTAGAAAAGTTACTTTGTGAATCCTTCTGGATTTAAGTGATTGTGGCAATTTTTCTTTCCTTCATCATGAAATTTCCCATGTTAACAGATATTTACAAATGCATGAAATAGTTCATGCAATAATAATGATGCATGATATTACACTTAGTTTGATCATGAAGCCTGGTGTCCCTCTAGAGATCTGTGGATTATCTGTGGAAATATAAGAACTGCACTGTTAACTGAAGTTACACTGGTAAACTGTTTAAGTCGTGCATGCAATAATAAGTATGCAGAGGGATCTAAACTGGGCATTTATCAGACCAGCAATTTATTTCTTTATGATCAGATTCAACAAAGGTATTGTCTCTGGCTAACATTCTCAGAATGCTGCTAGCAACATGATTTGTATTCTGGACTTAGTTCAGATAAACATACATTGTTTCCAAATCATTCTCAGTGCTGTGAGAGTTTATAGATCCAATTCCAGATGGCTGTGCTTTTGTTGAAAGCTGATTTGTTTGCCCGACTGTGAGTTTGTGTTTTGTTCTCTTAGATTGCTTCAGAGTAAACCCGAGGCTGTGGGAAAGGCTCTGTCTGAGAACAGTCTGCTAAGAAACATTAACTTTAATGAGAAGTTCCTGGGAGAAGAAAACATTGATGAGAGTAAGATGTTTACGTTTACATTCTTAGGAATAACAGATGTCATTTCAAAAGGCTATATACGGAATAAATGTCTGCTAATGTCTCTGACCGAGTGTTTATTATTAATCTCTGTAGCCTATGACCTGCCTCAAAGACCCAATGAAGCTCATATCTTTTATGGAAACATGAGTAAAATAATGGTGTCATTACTGGGAAGTACAAAGAGTGCTGACTGTGAGCAGAGTGACCCTGCTGAGCTGCTGCCGCCCTCTGTGAGACACACTTCAGAGACACACAGGTACTGTCAGAATATCTCAATAATTGTGTTACCTCCTGGCTTATCTACATTTAATCTATCCTTAGATTAATGATGTCTGTCACCATTACAATGCATTTCAGTTATTCCTACATCTCAATGATTTGTAAATTTATGGAGAAACACACAGTTTGAATCCACATTTTACTTTAGACTGCACACAGCCTGCAGAAGCAGTGCTGTAACACTATAGTAAAACATTTTTTAACAGCAGAACATCTCATAACATGTATGTCATTTAATGTTGTTTGAATTATCCAGCTCTTTTTTCCATGTCATTTCCAGTGGTTTGCCAAATGGTAACGTGTCCCTGGATGTGCTACCAGTGAAAGGTCCCCAGGGTCCAGCACTGAGAGTGACCGAGTCCTCCTTGCAGGTACCAGAAGCTCTCTTTCATCATGTCAAACAGTTCATGGTGTCGAGTCCCTGCTGATTATTTTGGTGATGTGGTGAAAAGTTGTTGCATTTGATAGGATTCAAAATGCTTTTTTATTTGTTTTAAAAGCAGAATGTCCTTTTTTTTCTCCCCTCAGACCTCTGACTCTTGGACAATACATCCAGAACAACTTGTTCTCGCTGCTCCTACCATCAGTGAGTAGTAGATCTCGTGGGCAAAGGGAACAGACTCTACCATGTCATGTGACTAAATAACCAGCTAGGAGTAAATTCATTTGTTGATGTTTTTGTTTTTAGGTGGTGCAGCACCGACCAGCCAGGTTCAGATCCGTAACAATACGTCCAGAGAACTGAACTTTGATTTGTCCTGGCCCGCCCACTGCCTCACCATTACCCCACAGCATGGAACTATTGAGCCTCAGTAAGAATTCTCAGTTTGTTTGTTTCCCAATTGAAGTATTCCGTTTAGAATAAGACCCATGATGTATGCTGTTCGCCTCTCTGTTTAACTTTCATGTGGGGTCAGGCTTTGAGCCAGACCGATTAATCGGCTAGCCAATTATATCGACCGATATTAGCATAACTTGTGACTATCGTATCGGCTAATTTTATCTCCGAAATGCGTCAGTATTTCCAGATTTATTAACCAGTCAAATAGCATTTCATTTGAGTTTCATTGTTTTACACTGCTGGTGAAAAAGAGCTATTCGAGTATTCTATATGGATTACAACATGCCTCATCAACATCACTCTCCAGAGTATCAAATGGTGATGCACAAACATGCAGGTACTTTCCAGTTGAGAGGCCATGTTGTCTACTTTATACTGTATATCTTTTACACAAGTGTTCTACAAGTAAATTTGAGAGATCAACGCAATAAATAAATGTGTTTATCGATATCTATCTATCTCTACAGATCAAACTTTGATCTAAGAAAGATATCAGACGATATATCAGCATCAGATTTGTTTTCTCCCCAGTAACAATATCGGCCCCAAAAATTCCATTTCGGTCGAGCCCTGTCTGACCCATAGACTGTCTTTTCAGGCTACATAAACTTTAAAATGAAATCTTTAATCATATCCAATTAACCATTTAAGTCAATTTGAAGCTGCTAATATTTTTACACAGAGGTATCATGCTTCCAGGGTCTTCTGCATCATGTAGTGCCAAACATGTCTCCATATCAGCTACATGCCCGTTTCAGAAATGAGATGTTCTGCTGCTTTTCGTTACCAAAGATTTGAAATCCAATCTAATGCTGACAGAGGTTTACTTGATCGAACACTTCTAAACGTATCTACTTTTTTTCTAAATAATAATAATAATGAAATAATAATAATAAATGTGTCTGTGTATTTGTGATTTAAATAGTTTCTTAGACTAATTTTATTATTTTTGTTTACCCAGGTGCCATCTTCAGATATTGATCAGTCCAAACCCTTCCCTAGCAACAAAACCTGCCCTGCTTCCATGGAGCGGGCAGATTTATGTCCAGTGTGATGGTCAACAGAAAGTAAGAAACACTTACAGATACAACCTTTACAAACCTTGAGTCTATCATGAATGTTGGATGGTTTTGTGAGGAGTAAACGAGGGCTGATTGTGCAATGTGACCGTGGTTCAGTTGATAAAGGTCCAGATACGTCAGGACCTGGCTCTGGATGTGTCTGCGGCCCCAGGAGACACAACTCTGTCAGCACTGCCTCCTCAGGCCGCCACCCCAGTGCTGCCTGTAAGCAGGCTGCCCACCAATCCCATGCTACCTTCACAGACCCCACAGGCACCTCAAGCCCTGGTGGAGATCAGCAACAAGACCATCATCTTCCCCAACACTCTGTCAGGGGAAACATCAGGTAGGGAGGTGACCGACCAGAGGACAGAAGATCCTCTGTTCATCTAACTTGGGCTCTACTCTACTACAGCCAGTCGTAGAAGCCTTTAAAAAATATTTCATATGCTTCAGACTGTTGGGGTTTGGAGTCATACTCTGTAGGCAGCTGTGTTCACTCCTGTAGGAGATCAAACTCTCTGTTGCTCCTCTACTTCAGACGCCCAGCTGGAGGTGCAGAATGGGAAAGTGGAAGTGCGCTGGTATCTGTCATCATTTGCTCCACCATATGTCAAGGTGCTTTTTCCTTCATTATTTTTTTTCTTTCTGTCAACTCTTTCATCCCTGCTCATTGTTCTCTTTCTGCTTCTCTTTTTGTATTGTTTCTCCTTTGGGAATAAACGCTTTTATTTGTTTTGTTGTTTATTTTTAAGTTTGTATGAATTTACTTTGAGACACTGTGAAGTTAGCTCCATTCTTTTCTTTGTTCTTGTGAATCACGTTGGTAATACGTTTATTTTGCAAGTCCTGCCTCCTGACATAGTTTATTGATAGTTTTTTTTTGTCTTGCCGTTGTGTGGTTGCAGTCACTCAGGTCCTTTCTCTCTCTCCTCAGGGGGTTGACCACTCTGGAGATGTTTACCGGGCCACGTACACTGCTTTTAGATGCACAAGGATCTCTGGCACTCTGGGAGCCCACGAGAAGATGCAGGTAAAGCATTTATATTCAACTCACCGTATTTGGAAGAAGACATTTGAAAGGGGAAATGACTACTGCATATGTCATGTATTTTTTTTGTTTTTAAAAAATAAATCTCGCAATACAAGTAGTTTTTTATTTCGAAGGTCCAACAGTACCCCATGCTCCTTTTGAAAACTGAACACTAGGTTCGGATTAGACTATCAGATGACCCTCAAGGTCAATATTTGATCCAAAAAAATGCTGCATCTACAACCATGATAATGTTAAATTGTACAAGAATTATGGTTTCTGGATTCTTTGACTGTTTTGTTTGCTGATTTTGTTTTGAACTTTGCATTTACAAAACATGTGGTTAAATTTGTTGGGATTGTTTCTGCGAATCCTTTTCTTGCTCTCCCAGGTGCCAATTACCTTCCTTCCCAGGGACAGAGGGGACTATGCCCAGTTCTGGGACTTGGAGTGCCACCCTGTGTCTGAGCCACAGCAGAAAGCCAGAATCCGCTTCCAACTCTGTGGCACTGTGAGAACATTTTATTAGTTTGAAGGATATTTAACTAAGCTTCGATGTTTGTTTGTGTACGTACCTTTTTCCGTCAGACTATCTTACTTTCTATAAAATACTACTTACGTTTTTACCTTTGGGCTTTAGCTGCTGTTGTTCAAGAGGTTGAACATCCACTTATCTGAAGATCTGCCAATTTAATCCAAGCTCCTCCAGTCTACTGATCCAAGTTAATTTTGGCAAGACACTGAACTGGTGTTGGCACGTTTGTTTTGATAGTAGTAAAATTTGAATGATTTTGATACCTGTTTCGATATCACAGCAACAAAAGTAGAAGTCCTGTAGAAGATAAATCCCGAGAGGGGAAAATCCAATTTTACAATCTGTTGTTGAACATGCTACACACATATGCGCAAACAGGATCCTGTGGACGTGCACTATTGGAGAGATAGGGGGCTGCCCACAGCGAGCCCCCCTGGACTTGTGTGGAAGGGGGGTTTGGTGCTTTGCTCAAGGGCACCTCGGCAGTGCTCATGAAGTGAACTGGCCCCTCTCCAGCTACCAGACATGGAATGGTGCTGCTCCATATGCTATGCACCAAATATTGATATACTGATTTATTATTTCTTGATTTTATTAACCAAAAAATGTTGACAAACTCCTCTCTCTGCTTGGTTGAAAGTATGACGGAACGTTTTGCAAGTTTTTAAAAAACGTTTTAAAGCTTTGGTACTTTGCGATACTAGCGATCATTCAAATAACAGAGGTTGTATCATTTTAAAAACACTTGGTATCAAGGTATCTTAAGTTTGACAACCTTATATTGTGCCCTAAGTGAAAGCTTCAAGTATGTAAATATGTATGAGAAAGGGCTGAATGGCAAAAAGTGTAGAGGGCTTTGAGTGGTCAGATAATTATAAGTACTGTCCATTTACCATACTTACCTTACCTTGTATAAATATATTTCTCTTATTCATGTTGTGTTTCACACATTTCACACAGAAACAAAGCAGATTTAAAAATCATTATCAGACATTCTTACATACGATTGTCATCCAAATAATTCTTTTGATTTAATCATAAACATAACAATGTGTACATCACCATTGCTAACTGTGGAACACCTCCCTTAAAAAAACACTACTGTTTGTCATCATCTTCATCAGTTTGATGAAACCAGCATGTATGGCAGAACCATGACTATGGCTTTGTAGTTTAAGTGACAGAATTAACAAATGAGATAAGTGGGTTTAGGGCTGGCAAGGAGAGCCACCCTGCTGAGACGCGCCTGCAGGCTTCATCTGAGCCATTTTGAACGTGAAGTATTTTGACAGACTTGTTTAACTTCAGCGCCTACACTCCCAGTTAAAGGGATGTTAGATGGATGGCGCCACATGAGTAGCTTAATCGGCTATAATGGCGTTATTTGGTGTAGTGTTTAAGTGTCTTTTAAAAAGCTTTAGTCTGTTGGGTGTGATATACTTGGAAGATAGCTTCTTTTTTGAGGTATTACAGAAATGGAATCAATGTTTTATCATGAGCTTACTAGCCGACCTCCTAAAGTTTTTGTTTATCTATCTAAAGGGAACCAAGTATGGACCGGTGGAAGGACCACACGAAGGAGACTGCTCTCTAGTGAAGACTGAGGCCACAGTCAAGACCAGGAAGAGAGCTGAGGTCTCAACAGTAAAAAACAGGTGAGACTTGCTGAGCTACAACTAACACTCATATGACCCTCACAAGGATTCCAGTGAAGGAGGGAACACAACAGCAGTGGAATGATTTCTCACTTCAGACTTTATTGGCTTTATTCTTTTAAACAATAGAAATCTCACTCTGTTGGCTGAGCAATTCATGGCTCCAGCCATGAACCACAGGGTCGAGTCCTGGATGTGGTTTCATGTGGTTCCCAATATTTTTTTTTTCCTTCCCCCTTTTGTATGAGGAACTTTTTTTTTAGAACCCATCATCAAATCATTTTCTATCATTGTCCGACGACGATATATGCCTCTCTGGGAACAGATGCTAATTTCTTTCTTGTTATTATTTAGCCTGTGCCTCTCGGTTATAATGGTGAAGTCCTCAGTTAGTGTTGAACGATTTACAGCCAAGACTTCCTTCTCTGTGTGGCGTTTACATTACAGACATAAACCGCGTCACCCTCATTTCTTGGTCTTTAACATCCCCCAGATTAGTGCCTGTCCATCTGTTTCTTGTGAGTCTCAGTACAACAGTAGATAATAGTTCCACAGAGGCTTCAGGTGTATGACCAGTTTTTTTTCCTGCAGACATTAAAGACTGCTTATAACTAACTAGTAAATAGATGCTCTGTGTTAAAATATTATATTATGAGAGGTGCAAAAAAGCTACAACACACATGGATGTTTATAGAATTTGTTAGCAGTTTTCTTCGTCGGGGGACTAAAATCTCGGCGTTCAGCACTTGGTACATATTTAATGTTGTTCGAGTATGTTTTCTTCCTATGGACATTGTGTTGATAGTTATTACTCCCCTTTTTAAACTGGCACTATTTGTGTTTCACAGCCAGGAGGAGGCTGTGAGGAGAGGTGTGTATTCTCCACAGGATCTGTACACCTTCCCAGCCACACGTGCGGGTGAATCCAGCACTCTGAAGGTCAACATCCGCAACAACTCTTCGGATACACACGAGGTGAGGCGTGCCTTATACTCATGAAGACGAGGGAAAGAAAAATCATTAAAGAAAGTGAGCTGCAGTACATTTGCAGCTCTAGGTTTCTGGAAATATAAAACCATGGGGTTTATAAAATATTTTTGAATAGGTCTTTTGAATTTAGTCTGCTTTGTTGCCTCTGGAAGTAAGACTTTTCATCTTCGACTTTTTTTTTTTTAAAACATTGGACCTCAAAGCTTAAGTATGGATAAAATACCTTTACTAGAGTATGTGGCTTCCAAATGGGGACATTTTTCTGAGCCGGACAGGAATGGCAGGCAGGACATAATGTCAGGTGGAATTGGGAGAAATCTTATAATGCCTGGAGCAATCCCAGTCAATGAATAAACTGCAGAATATTTATCCGCCGAATTGTTTCTATTTGCAGAATATATATCTGCATAACATGCAGTTGCTATCTTAGTAAAAATCACACTTTAGCTTTGTGCTACTAAACAACACTCTGAATATTGTCATCTTTATCTTGATTTAAAGAAAGAGCATGATAATATTTAAACATACGAATTCAGAGAATTCCCCCCCAAAAAATGATGGTAGGTGTGCAGCCTCTCCTGATTAATGTAGGGTTACCCTCTCTGTTATTTTCTTTTTGGCATTATGTATTGCTAACATGTTTTTAATTGTATTCTCTACCCACACTCTGGTACTTCTACAATGTCATTTTTTTAATTCAGCTCTACTGTGAGAAATGGAGTGTATATATATATATATATATATATGTGTGTAGAGTGTCATTCATTATTGCTAATAAAAGTTGCACGCCAGACTGGATTGCTTCGTATTGTAAGCAAAATGTAATAACCACTAACAAATGCCACTGTGCTCTGCATGGAGTTAATATTTGATGTGTGGCTTCTCTAATTGACTTGCAGCTGAAATTTGTAAACCCTAGGGAGCCCTTCCACATCAAGCATTCCAAATATTCCCTGAGGTGAGTCGAATGGTCATTATCCCTGACAGAAACTCTTCATTCTGTTCTCTGCAAAGATAGACACTTAAGAATACAATGTTTTTCATTTTTTAAATGAACCGCCACCTGTTAGTGTTTACTTGTTTCTATTTTTAATCATATACTGTGGAATATATTTATTCATAAGTTTTTATTAGTAGTCTGTTAGATATCGAACGTCAAGTCAGGAATGGTCTATGTTTGTCAAAACCAACTTCTTCATATAACTCTGAATTTGTATAATGCTATGTTTCTATTGTTAATGCTCACTATGGGAGGTATTATGAGATGTTGGCACCCAGAGGATGATTGGAAGGTACACCCACTTGAGTCTTTGGGGAGCACTCGTGTTTTGCTTCACTGCTGAGGCCTTTGGGTGAGGTTGCCTGGCCCCAGGTATCAGCTGGGCTGTGCTCTGTTGACGTGTGTGGAGGCTTCAGAATGTGTGCTGTGCATTGTTGAAGTAAGAAATTAATAGAAACAAGTTGAGAGTGGTACAACAATTTAAATATAGAAATTGCAGGATCAAACAGAAAGCTTTGGACATGCTATTGTGTTTGAATTGTGTCATGTAGCTCCACCCTGAACCTGACACATCCCTGCAGTATGAGTGTTGTGAACCTGCTGGTTGTGGATTTGAAACAGTTGTGTGGTGGTACAAGCTTAATGTGTCTCTTATTACGTTATACTCTCATTTTCACCTTGAGATGTTCCAATATTATTCCTTTCTGATACCTAAAGTGCATCCAAAGACTCACATCAATAACCTTTTTTTATTTAGTGTCCTCATCAGTTTTCTTTGTTTAGTTTCAGAGAGAAAGAAACATTTGATTTGCTTTTGGAAAGTGTTGTGAATGATGAATACTGAAGGGTTTCTGAGCTGGAAACAAGCAGCATACCTAGACACAACTCTGCTAAAGTTAGCTGCAGCTTGACTCATAGGCCCTCCAGATGTGCTGTAACTGCCAAAGTGTCAGAGAAAGGCTGATCTTTTTTTTTTTTTTTTTATGTGAAACTGCCTCATTCAGTGTTGCTGGCTCACTCTAACCTTACAGTCTCTGACAGCTCCACACTGTTGAGTTTCCTTTTTGTCACATGATAAATTAGTTGAAATTATTTCTTCTGTGCGTCTAATAGCTGCAATGATCTGAACACTTTTTTTAGTGGCTTCACAGCACAAGTTGCTCTAAAGGCTACCGTTTAGATCTGGGCTTATGAATTAGTTTTAATTAGTTTTTTAGTCTTTTCTGGAGAGCTTAACTTTCAGTATTGGATCATTCAATCGCCTGGTTGACTCAACAATACCTCATCCTGCATTTTAGGCTTTCTTAGGATCGGAGGCTGATATTAGTATTGGAACAACTCTATTGGCACCTCATCCACACAATAGTGATATACCATTGCTTTCTACTCATGATCGAAAACATTTTGGGTCGTGCACATAGATATGAGTTCTGTGTTTTCATTTAAGGATACTTAATACTATTAGCAGAAGTATAGTGCAGTCCTAAAGAAGCATATTGCATTCACTTGAGAAAGTAAAAATCTGCTCTGATTTTCTTTATTATCAAGATAATTATCTCAGAATTAAGAAAAAGTCTTATCTTCTTCTGAGTCTAACAATACAATCTACACGAGCATCTCCACATTACTCAAACCCAAACCCTGATAATCTCGGTAAAACTCAACAGGAGTGATTTTAGCTTCTTAAGGGACTAAAGAAGAGATTCTGACACTGGATATTATTTTCTTTTTAATTCAGAAAATTGAGCAGATGTTTATTTGCTTTTCTTTTTATGTGAACATGCATGTGAATCTGTGTTGATGTGTTTCTTCATACTTACTCACAATTTAAAATAACTATCTATTTGTAGACTCTTAACTGTCTGTTCCTCTTCCACACCCGTTAGATCACAGCACTATCTGAAGCTACCTGTCCAGTTCAAGCCCAGTACTGCAGGCAGACACACGGGCTTGCTGCTCATCCAGTCAGAAACAAGTGGAAGTCTTGTTATTCAGCTGACCGGTGATGCATTACCTTGAACTCACCATCTACCAACTTACGCCACCTCCTCATACCGACTGGGAGGATACTGTACCAATCATCATGGAGCAGACACGGGGTAACAGAGAGAACTGAAGGAAAAAAAAAAACCCAATCAAATAAAGGCTACCTTGAAATCTGATGAAAATCTTCTCTCTCATCATATTTGCTGACGTCGACTGTAGCTGTTTAACTGGAGATGACTGAGACCTCACTGCCAACACAGACCCATCTGCCTCTGGATGTGGCACAGGTGTCCTCAGTTAGCCTGTGAAAAATGATTGTGCCTGTTAGTGCCTGAAGCTGAAGGATTTGGTCAGGCTGGCTCACAATTATTCTGCACCAGTCTTGCATTTCTGGGACTTAAAGATTTTTTGTCACTTGACTCTGGATCTGGTGTTTGTCTTAACCCCCAAGTCATGTCACAAGGCAGCATTGTTGTTGCTTTGGCCCCTGCCAGACAGTACCAGTTAGACTATGTTGGGGATTACTTTGAGTTGATCACAAAGGAATGCCTTTGTCTCTTGTTTGGTAACCCACTGCTAGGATTCTTTTGTTTGTTTGCCTCTGGAAAAGGTAAAAAAAATGTGTTTTATTTCTGGATAAAAGTAAAAATCTTAAAAACAGGACATGTCATGTTTCTCCCCCTAGTTTGACACCAGATTAAAAAAAAAAAAAAACATGTGTCATGAACTTGTGATTGGAAAAGGACAACCAGAAATGTATGAATTCATTTTTCCACCATATAATCTAAGTGACTCCTCATCATGCATCGCCCACCTGCAGTAACTTTTATCAGCACCATGTGTTGACTTCCCCAGCAACCTCCAAGGCTCGTTCCAAGCAGTCCAGATGCATTTCATTTAGTCATGAACAGGGCAGCTCGCAGCAACATCGGGATGCTTAATGATTGTTATTACATGCTAAAAGTGGTGGGCTTTTGTTCGGCAGCTTGCCAGGCCTGCTTAGTATGGTTACCATGGCAAAACAGTGTTAATCACTGCTCCAGTCACAGAAAATTAGCTCCCCATTTCCTCTTCTGGCTCTTGGGCAAATGGCCAATATTGCTTTGGGGTATTGGAGTTACATCCATAACGGGTTTTGGCACTGGAAGGGCATAGGGAGAGTCAGGTAAATGTGATCAAGGATGTACTGTTAAGCTTGTCGGTGTCACACATTAGAAATGAAAAACACTAGTGTAACATTTGATGTTCGTGCTTGTAGATAGAGCTTAAATAAAGATTAAAAAAGCAGGCTTTAGGCGTCTCTCAATGTACCCTGCCTACTATCCTGACATTGTTTGAGTTACAATTTGCACATTCTTTAAATAGTATATAATGTAATATATAATTGTATGTACACATTTTGAATAAAGTTTGTGATTATGAATATTGGCTTTTCTTTTTACATTTTCTGTATTGTTGTCGGTGAGGCAGACGGTTCCCAAAAAAAGTATTGATGGAAGAAATATAACAGGAAAACATTTACTTGTGATCTGCTTGGGAAGGATAAGAATGAGGTCACCACTCACCTCACCGCTGACCCGACGAACACAACATGGATATGGAAACTGAATACTTCTTCAGGGGGTTACTTTAATAATATCTGTAAACTCTTCATGACCTTGTTTTTTACAGATTACTTTGAAAAACTGATCTTGTTTAAAGTCCCACTTCACATGAAAAACAAAACGGGTCACTTCACTTAAGGCGCTTCAAAATTCTCAGCTCAGTTAATAGTGTTTCTTGATTTTTGGGCCACTCCCTAAACTGCATGTTGAACTTTATAGGACTTTATTTCCTGGAAGTATTTTTGTAAGTATTGATCTGAAAGAGACTGTAGGAGAGTTAACTTGGAATAAAATTTGTAAAGTGCTTTTTAACACAGGAATAGATAAACCACCAAGCATCTCGCTTTATTCCTTTTTTTTTTTTTAATTTAATATTTTACCTATATTTCTGCTATTTCTTGCTATTTCTTTAGGAACACTTGGCATGATATATAATATATGAGAGCTGATAATTACAGATTTTTTCCCTCAACTGTTTATAGGTTCTTGCTTTAAATTACACATATATTTTTATTCTTAAACGGGTTATGTACATTTCTTGTATAAATCTATTTTTAATTGCACAGTTTAAGTTTGATTCATCTAGTGGTATTTAAATCTTTTTTCGGGTTAATATATATGTATGGGAGGGGGGGTGTCATGTTTTGTGGTTTAATTTAATGTTTCATGCCATGTACGTATTTGTAACCTGCTACTGGATGCTTTGAATTTTTTTCCATTATTTTGTGTGAAAGAAAAAGAACTGTGAGCTGAATTAAACTGCATATAGAAAAAAGAAAGGAAAAGTTCTGAACCTTAGAGCTATTTTTTTTTTTTAATTATTAAATGAAACACTTTTATATAAACTGCTGCATATATGTATGATTCTGACCTGTGACAGAACAGTAACTTTTAGTTAGACGGCTGCAATGCACGAAGTGACCTGCAGGTGTCGCCAAAGGCTCGCTGGAGTCGCGGCTGTCAGCAGCGTGTCCTGTACAGTGGGGCAGCTGAGCTTTATTTTGCTTCCCAGACTGGAAACCACTGTAGTGCAGTTGGACTTGACGTATAGCAACACAACATCACTGACTTTTTAACAGGCAGACACGGCGACTTGGCACGTTAGCGACTGCATTTACAGGTAGGAAGCAAGTGACGTTTTCTTGAGTTTTTACCTCTACACTGATGTATTTTAATGCATGTAATGCACGTAGGCGGCGTCAGAGGTGTTGGTGGTCGTGCTAGCTGCAGAGGCTAGTCGGGCTGTCCGGTGTCGGGTCTGACTTCGGGCCAGACAGTGGAAGTTGCTGATGGGAGTTGTTGGAGCTGCTTTCCAAGCTGCGCCAGACAGCACAGCTAAGCTAATGGCTAAGTTAGCAGCATGCAGGCTAGGCTCCCATCCATCCACAGGGGGCCACAGCAACCAAGCACCGCTATGTCTCTGTCTGCCTCTCCCTCTGCCCATGACCCCCCCCCTGTCAACATTTAATGCACTAGAGTGGAGACAGACACAAGTGTTTTATTCTGTCTGTCTTGTTGTGTCGTTGGCTGTTTTCTCCTGTTTGGTGTGGTGGACAAGCTAGCTGCAAAAACTGGATTAGAAATGTAATACCCTGAGGTTGTCAGTCATGTTTAAGGGCTGGGGGGGGGGGCTACACAACTTTTTTTTTTATGCAAATGAGGCATGCATGATGAGGCAGGTGTCACCAAGGAGCTGCATGATGCTGACCTGTGTGTGTGTGTGTGTGTGAGTGTGAGTGCTGCAGGGTGGTCAGGCACCACCATGTAATATCAACATTCATCCACAAACAGCCTTTTTTTTTTTTTTCTCACTAAAAAAGTTCATGATAAATATTATGTATGTTTATAATAGTTGACACTGAAATTTAACAGACTCAGACATCTGCAGACCCCAGATAGTGCAGTGCGTGTCTGATCATATCTTACAGGTGTTTAATTCTACATTTAAGTGTTTTTTTCAACCTTGTCAACACAATTTCTCCTAATTTGTGATTATCTTTCTATTTCTGTCTCAAATGTAATCAATCAATGAATCAATCAATTTTTATTTGTATAGCGTCAACTCATAACAAGTGCTATCTCGAGACACTTTACAAAAAGCAGGTAAAATACCTTACTCTTTGTCTGTTAACATTACAAAAGAGCAGGTAAAAAGACCTTACTCATTGTTATGTTACAAAAGAGCAGATAAAAAGACCTTACTTAATGTTATGTTACAAAAGAGCAGATAAAAAGACCTTACTTAATGTTATGTTATAAAAGAGCAGGTAAAAAGACCTTACTTAATGTTATGTTAACATTACAAAAGAGCAGGTAAAAAGACCTTACTTAATGTTATGTTAACATTACAAAAGAGCAGGTAAAAAGACCTTACTTAATGTTATGTTATAAAAGAGCAGGTAAAAAGACCTTACTTAATGTTATGTTAACATTACAAAAGAGCAGATAAAAAGACCTTACTTAATGTTATGTTACAAAAGAGCAGATAAAAAGACCTTACTTAATGTTATGTTATAAAAGAGCAGGTAAAAAGACCTTACTTAATGTTATGTTACAAAAGAGCAGGTAAAAAGACCTTACTTAATGTTATGTTACAAAAGAGCAGGTAAAAAGACCTTACTTAATGTTATGTTACAAAAGAGCAGATAAAAAGACCTTACTTAATGTTATGTTATAAAAGAGCAGGTAAAAAGACCTTACTTAATGTTATGTTACAAAAGAGCAGGTAAAAAGACCTTACTTAATGTTATGTTACAAAAGAGCAGGTAAAAAGACCTTACTTAATGTTATGTTATAAAAGAGCAGGTAAAAAGACCTTACTTAATGTTATGTTATAAAAGAGCAGGTAAAAAGACCTTACTTAATGTTATGTTATAAAAGACCAGTGCTACGTCATGCTGCCCAGCAATGCATTTACGTCTCATGCCTGCAACGACCTGTTAAAACACTTTCCACCTAAATACATTTTAAACTATTTTTTTTTTAACCTGTTTTTACATCTCACATTGCCCAGAGGGGAAACGATCATGTTGCTCGTCTGGTTTAACATCATTTTTTATATCACATCTGTTACAACAAACAAACCCACTGCTGGCCTACTTTTGGAAAATTTTTTAGGGTTCGTTTAACTTCCAGCAGCAACCACTGACGTCACCATGCAGACCAATGGCCATGTGGTTGAAGCTAACAGTCATTTAAAATCATGATGTGATAATATACACGACAGAGCGCTTTGTGTTCCAGCCTGCTGATCAGGTTTATATTATTTTGATTTCTGAGCTTTGTCCTCTGTCTGAGCTGCATAAAGGACTTGAGTGCATACTTTTATGTTTGGTTTATGTTTGGTTTCTTGCCTTGCTGATTTACTCTGATAGCCCCCTCGTTGCCTACCCTGACTCATGTGAATGTTTCAGTCTGGGACCTATAGATGAGGCTCCTCCAAGCTTTAAATTCTTTTTAGGGTTTGTTTTTCGTACTGTCTGCATTGCCTTGTTGGCATCCTTCCTGTCTGTGGTACTGTCTGTGACCTACACGCGCTCCCTCTCCTTTCATGCTTTCTGTCTCATTTACCCACTCTTTCACTTCTGTACGAACTTTAGCGTAAACAGTTTTTGACAGACTCCAGCTCGTGGAGTTTGAATGCTTGTGTCGCATCTATCGGCGATGACAGTAGATTTGTGAAGGTAGCTGCTGTGGCATTTCTTTGACATGTTTCCTCTGCTAGGCTGCTGCTGTGCTGATGAGGTGAGCTGGGTAGTTCCAGCTTGTTAAGCTGGGTTCAGTAAAAGGACACCTGTGGATAATGATGATGATGATGCATGTACATGTGAAAGCATGGAGACAGGTAATAATTGCCATCAAGTCAGGGTGTCGTACTGTTTAATCCTTATGGGAATTAAAGTCTTAAGAGGTAATACTGGGGTTCGCCTCAAGTGTCAATCATCTCTATGTTGACCTTTTTTTCTGTCCATTATATTGAGCTTTGTTTGAAACAGGCAGCTCACGTACAGCACGAGCAACATTAGACTTCAAAGTTCCCTGAACATAATTCATTTTTGGAAAAAAAAAAAGTTTTACAATGGAGCATAATGTTTTTAAATGATCTGAATGATTCAGTCAAACATGCAGATCATTTGAGTCTGAGAGGATTATCTGATTTGATATTTTCGCCTGAATGATTTAGTTGTTATGTGGGTTGGCATGACAACATGCTAACAATATTAAGTTTTATACCAACTACTGACGTCGATGCTGATTTCTTGTCATTTCTCTAAGACTTTTGTCAGTTTAAAAAAAAAAAAAAAAAGAAGCAAAAGCTTCAACAGAGTACGTCGAATGAGTCTGAGGTCATATCGCCCAGCCCTGTCCGTAGAGAGGATTCTCTCCCATTGGGACTGCAGCCTGATTCTGCATTCAACCTTTATCTGAACCAAAGAACAAAACTGAGGAGGAAACGCTTTCCCTTTTTGACTTCAGCTGTGTGTGCAAGCTAAACTGCAAAGGTAAAAGTCTGTTAATACAGAAGTGAATAAAAAAAACGTCTTTAAATAATAAAAGAGTAAGAAGGTCGAGTTGTCAGTTACCAGGCAGACACTGTGTATTATTAGAGAAGGTAATGTATTCTCTTCTAGCAGCTTGCAGTGCGTGTGTGTGTGTGTGTGTGTGTGTGTGTGTGTGTGTGTGTGTGTGTGTGTGTGTGTGTGTGTGTGTGTGTGTGTGTGTGTGTGTGTGTGTGTGTGTGTGTGTGTGTGTGTGTGTGTGTGTGTGTGTGTGTGTGTGTTTCACACAGCTCATTGTACGACTGCTTCTCAGAACCAGACGTCTGCGTCCATCCGTCTCTTTGTATGTCTGTCTGTCTGTCTCTTGCTCTAATGTGTGTGTGTACTTGTGTAGCTGTAACTGACCGTAAGCCCATGTGTGTTCGTGTGTGTGTGTGTGTGTGTGTGTGTGTTTCACCCTTTGCCAATTAGCAGCTTCTCACCTCCCGAGGCGAGAGGCTGAGTGTGTTAGACGGAGGAGAGACTTGACGGGGCTTGTCTGCCACTGACGGCTCAGCCTTAACCTGAACTCTCTTTCTTTCTGTCTCTCACACACACACACACACACACACACACACACACACACACACATATTCCATTATGAGCACTGAACTCTAACTCTCTTTCTCTCTCTCACACACACACACACACACACACATGCAGGACCTGAGCTGCAGCCAGTTGTTGAGAATACAGCCTCGTCTGTCTCGTCGGCCATGTGACACACCAAAACGACGGTATTGTGATGGTGGAGAAAAGAGGCGCGAGACGAGGAAAGACGAGTGCCAGCCTGCACCGATGTGTGTGTGCGCCTTTTGTCTGAGTTGTGCTCATGGGAGTGTTTGTCTTAAAAACGCTGTTAGTGTACCTTCAGTCATGGGTTTGGATGTGACTTTGCTACTACTTTAGATCAGCGGGAACGCAAACGTACCGTTCTCGGCGCCATGCCCGAGTCTTCATGAAGAGGTGGTCTGGGGCACGATTCATGTGCACTGGAGTACGATCTGCTCAAACTAGTAAGTGGACCGCTATGCGACGTCGCTCTAAACGACTCCGGTCGACTCTGAAAACCCGACTCATCAGCGCTCATCTTCTGAGCTGCACGGTTAATGTGGAAGTAGGAAGAGGGCCGTTGTTGGCGTCTCGGAAATAACAAAAAAAAAAAAAAATCCAAAGTTTGCGGGATGGACTCAGCCTGTGAGTGGTTGCCATGGTTGCCGCTTCTCTCTGCTTCATAACGTGCATACTGCCACCTGCTGTATGGTGTGTGTACATACTCGAGTGTACTCGGGAACACGCACGCACGCACGCACGCACACACACACTGCATCGTAAATAAGTATTAGAGTGAGTTTCAAAATGACAAATGTCTTGAGCTACAGTTTAATACAGCTTGATCTCTTACCCAGAATAAACCTGATTGTAATCCGCACCTGGTGCTCATCATGTGTTACCATGGTGATGTACCCCGGTAACAAGTGAACCAGCTTGCTTTGTAGTACTGTAAAACCCCGAGTCGTCCTTTGAAGTTCCCTGGTTAACTGAAAGTCCTGCCTCGTAGTCCAGGCCTGAATTAAACACG